CTCTCTCTCTCTCTCTCTCTCTCTCTCTCTCTCTCTCTCACCGATGCTACCCATTAAGGTTCAAGCTTAGGAAGCAAAGTTCTGGAAACTTCCTGCAGAACTGCATCACGGATGCGCAATTCCGCGAGATAACGTTCGAGATCAAACAGGCTGAGTGCTGCCGTCCAAACTTCTTGATGGCTTTCCTGGGTGGGGGGCAAGGGACTGCCTGAAAACGTCGCGCGAGAGGACCGCCGACTCTGGGAGGGACAGGGAGGGACCGACTTAGCACGGACATGAACAATCGAAGCTTCCACAAATCTGTATCCAGAACCGGCCCTGTTATACTACTTGGGTAGTTCGTGTTAATCTAAAAACTTCTTCGTAGGAATTTAAGAATTCCATTTTCCTGCTACAGGAGAACATTCATTCGATGAATCCCTATAGCATCATCGCAATCCATTCGTATTTCGTACTCAGTATCTCTACTGTAGAGTGTACTAATATTCGAGAGTATTTCTTCAGAAACTATTTTTCATTCCCACAAAAGAGACTAGTAATATTTAAACATTTGCCTTTACCTGGGGTGATTTCACAATGTCTGTGATTCACTCGTAATGTACGGGCATCCTTAAGATACTCCTGCCTCGCGTACCATTACTGTCCTTCAACCCTTAATACGAGTGTCTCGTGCTCATCTTTTTTGATTACCTCAATTTTTAACTTGAATTATACGACCCTTAGCATTTCAGCGTCTCTTACCTTCTCTTAATGGGCACATTAATAACACTAACTTTCCCATGGACTATTGTCGATTACATTTTGAAGCACTGTACAAGTGACTATATGATTTTAACTCATAATGTAATTTACTGCTTGTTACAAGTTTCGCGCTGAATTATAGGTAATTTGATGATGATACGTACACGGAGACATCGAAAGCGTTGTCATTTATAATCTCTAAACGAAGTAGGAACGCTTCGTTCTCTCTGATATTTTAACAGATAGGAGGTATTAAAGCACACCTGTCTTGCCCCAAGTTCTTACTCAGATACCGAGAGGTACCTAAGTGGCGCACTGGATTCAGAAAGGTGGCAAGAGGAGACAGTCGGAATGGCAAAATGAGGTCAAAGGCACTGAGATGCTAAGGAGTTTCTCTAGCCACACAGAACGAGTAGCTTCACTTCCGATTCTTTCATACATATCTTCTCGTCCCGATGCTGCACACGTTGCTGAGGACTAGTGTATTTATTTCTCTTGGAAAGCAATTGCCGTCTCAAAATCTCTCCGAGAGACCCTTACCCTTTTTAGAATAAAGGGTAAACGCGCTCACTGTCCCACAAAGTACACTGGGTTTTATTGCGCGAATCAATTTCCAGGAAAGCGAGTTTTCACTGTGTCTTTTGTGTCTTCAAAACTATTTCAACTGATCCACCCTTATTGTTTCTTTTCTTGTTATTCACTTCACTTCAACCGTCTATTACTCACGCTTGGCAACTATTTTCTTGAACGATATTTTTTTTGTGCGATGTTACCGACAATAATGGTTATAATTTTGAATTTCTCTTGTCCCGGTGTCTGACATTTTTTTCCCGTCTTTTCGTCATCGCTTCTATTCAGTATTAAACTTCTCGTTTATGCATTTTCGAATTGTCACACAAGCCCGATTCACACGTGAAACTAATGCGACTCGAGTTAAGAACGGATTATGCTGTTACCGCAGTCGTACGTTTGGGTGAAGGCAGCACAAAGTTATATCGTCTTACGCGATTTCCGGCCGCATATTATCCCATCTAATCTTCCCACTTACTCGCACCTCCCATTGCGTCACATTCTTGGTGCCTTTGGTCTTGTTCTCATAAGCCTTCTAAAAATTTTCCTGAAAAATTCTCTTGAATATTCGTCGACGCGAAAGAGTGAAGAAGGAAATAATGAAAGGAGTAGAAATAAAATTCGAAAAAGTCAAAAGAAAATTTTCATCCCGGGCACTCATGGTAAATAAGAAATGCCTTATCCCCCTTACACTTACGGAAACAAGCTGCAAGTTGAAACTTGCAATTTGCTTCCTCCGAATCGTAAGTAGTGTACGAAGTCCTTATATGAGGAAGCATTTTCATTTTTTTTAATCTTTGGCTTCCTCATAGATGAATTTTCATCTACTACCCACGATTCAGAGGAAGCAAATTCCAAAATTAAAATTCTTGGCATCCTCATACAGGGACTTCGTACACTATTTACGATTCGGAGGAAGCAAATTGCACGTTTCAACTTGCAGCTTGCCAGAACACCTGGACACCCTGGACTTCCCCGCCCGACACCTATATACAGGAAACTACGGAGCGGAACACTTGGACACCCTGGACTTCCACATCCGCCACCTAGTTACAGAAAACTACGGAGAGGAGCATCTGGAAATCCCATATCTCTAAAAATTGTCACGTAAAATACGAGGAACTATGTTAAAGCATACACATACACTCGTACGTACACCCATTCACACGCGCTCCACATGAAAGCCTTAATAATTCTATACTATTGTGAAAGCAGCCTTATGTCAACTGGAAATTCGGTGTGAACGGTAGCTTCACGTACGAAGTGTATTTGATTGTGTTGTGTATTCGTAAATTACCAACACCATCCAGAGTACAAATAGGTAAAGAAGGCAAAGCAGTCAGCGCCATCTGTCGTTTAAAAAATGCGATGGACATGCGAAGACGACGACGAGAACGACGACGACGGAACTGAAATAAAATCATCTCGCTCGCCATTTCAATACGCCCTGATCTCGTACACTAATCGTATTGAACTTGGTGGGAATCGCTTCAGAACCTTCAATTCCTATAGTGAATGTATCAATAACTTTTCCTCATATATAGCGGTTCATAAGATATTTCGTTCCAAACACAGGTATAAGGAGTTGACTCGAGTAAAGAGTCTCGGCGCGCTGCGCCCTGTACAGCCGGTTGCCTGTACTTGGCGCGAAACTCGACCGAGTCTCTTGATCTCTTGTATGATCTCTTCGGGCCTAATATTTTTGAATTGGCTGAAATTCAAAAACTTGAATATACGTATAATCAGATCCGTTTTACCAATCTCCGCCAAATTTGAGACATATCACGGCTAAATGATACTCTATACTTTTCGAAAATTGGAGCTGAATCGGTCAAAGTTGACGGGAGTTATATTGATAAATTTAATTTTTCGAAAAATTCAAAATATCATAAAATCAAAACTTCTCGATCGATTCGGCCTAAATGCAATACCAACCAACCTTGGATACAAATCTCTTTCTCAAGGACTATTTAGACGATTATCACAAAATTTGCTATCGTTAGAGTGATAACGTCCTTTTTTTGGGTATTTAAAAACGACATAAAATCCGAGCCGCAGCATGAACCATGACGAAAATTATAGTCAATGAAGGGATTATAGAGCTGCATATACCTGCAAAATTAGGGGGCTGTAGCTAAAACCGTTCTCGAGTTATACACGTTTGAATTTTGGGAGGCCATTGCACACACACACGTACATCCGAATATTTTCTCCAAACGTGTTTTCTCGACGTTTTGGCACATTCTGAACATGGTGACATGAAAATCTCAACAGGACAATTTTCCACAGTCACATAGCTTCCTCTATGAGGAAGCAAAAGAATAAGCTACAATCCAGATAACCCGAGGGTTCTACGTGTATGCACATATGCACGTCAGTCGGTCCACGAGTTCGATGTGTTTCTTTTGACACTTCGCAAAATAATGCAATCCTGAGGAAATCACAACACGGCTCTAGCTAAAGTAGAGAAATACAATACATTTCAGTATAAAATTATGCACATGCATAATTTGTAACAAAAATGTTATACAGAGCTACGTAGTGTGGTTTCCTAAAGACTTCGTTGTTTTGCTATTGTAAAAAAAAACACATTGGACTCGCGAACGGACTATACACCTCGAAGAGGGGATGGTAAGAACGAACGAAAGACGTAAGAAAGAAAAATTGTATTTTACGAGCAGCATGAATATTTATGATCATAGCAGTCGTTGGCACTGCTGCTGCTGCGCACGCGATTTTCCACAAAATCGAGAAAATATAGGAACTCGAAAGAAAATCTGGACGAACTCTGAAGCGCTTCTTTATTTCTTCGTAATTCTTCTATTTTACTTCATTCTTTTCCTAGGTTTTCTTTCTTCTGACTCGTCTTGCAGGCATACAAAAATGTACGGGGACGAAAGTGAAAAGGGTAAGATTAAAGGAGAGATGCGAAATGCTGTAGAAAAAAGATTCTCTCTCTCTTTCTCTCTCTGCCTTTCTACAGAAGTATAGCACACGTAGGACAAGGTGCTTCTACGAGAGTTGCTAAAAGTTAGCAACGCTTCAGGCATCTCCAATCTCGCGTTTATTTCTTTTCTTCTCCTTTCTTCTTCCTCCTGTCTTTTGCCGTTTTACATTACATCATTTTATTCCTCCGCAAAGAATATGCGCGCACGGGTAAGTGGCGGGCTAAAGAAATTTTACTTCTCTTAATTCCTCCTTTCGACACGCTTCACTGTCAGACCGACACTCGCTCCGTCGCTCCTCACAAAATTGACGTGACGGGGCTTCTCGACGTGGATTGAAATAAAGAAAAAAAGAAGATGTTAATTTCTCTTCGTTTCATCGCGCCTGGAATTGGATTAACCATCTAATGGATAACTCAATGAACGTCACACATGGTTCTGTATAGCCATACACATGTAAAATGCCATAATCCCCATACGCTCCGAAATATCATACATATACGAAGATCGTGTCGGTGCGTAAATTGAACAAATTATAGAAGAATGCATTGGTCGCGACGAGTGCAGGGTGTCCGACTGCTACTGTACTACGTACATATGTGTATACATATGCTTTTCGCCCCTATGGAAAGGGGATCGTGAAGTCGATTTAATACTCTCCCAGTGGTTCTCAAACGAGTCTTTACCTAATTGTAAAAGTGGGGCAAGGGGGAAAAAATATTATACACTTATCAAACCTTTGGGCAAGGACTAAGTTCTAATTGAAAAAATGATTTATCTGACACAATGAGAATCTCTTTTCATTGACAATGGACCGCTTCTCGTAATTACACGACTTATACCAGTGCATTGAGCTTATACAATGTAAGACGTGTGGAACTTTCTATGTGTCAAAGCATGTGTGAATACACGCGTATGTATAAACCAACGAGAAACGTCATGGACCGAGAACTCGTTCCTCAAGAGAGGACAGTATCTTGTGAATAGCGAAGGAAGACGACAAGAAGTTCGTTGTTGGTCGTCTTGTTGGCTCGGCTGATTTATATATATATATATATATATTTGTCATTCCTTTTTTTCTGATATTTGTATACGTTTTATATTTTTCTTGACTCCATTGTTCCCGGGAAAAAATAAGTGTAAGACTCTGAGTACATTTTGATCAATTAATAGTGAATTGTGAAAAATTAGATTCTATAATATATACAGGATGTATTGGATGATCTTCTTCTGGGTGGCTGGTGAGTGTTGACGACTTGAAAAATCTTTTAAAAATAAATTTCCTAGTTTTTTACTCGTTTCTCTTTCCTGAAAGAAAGAGTAATATTTATCATGGATTCTTTATCAGGTAATACTAATAAAGTGTACCTTCGATACTCTCGTAGACGTATTTGAGTTTCTGTTGAAAATCTTGTTTCCTCAGGGAACGTCGACGACATTCGACTCACCGTTAAACTTCCTTCTCCATTTCCTCCCATCCGGTATTTAAGGCGTCTCCGTGTCTGCCTTGTGTGGACAAAGGGTGTACAAGGTGTATGCGAAATATATAGATATATCCTACACCTATGTATAATGCGTATTGGTCTGAGAGTAGTATCACAAGTGGATCTCTAAATAAAATGCAGGGGAAAAAATTGAAATACAATTTTATTTAAATACAGCTTTGCTGTTAATAATGGCGTCTATACTATAATTTTAAAAATAGTGTACGGTACAATTCTCGCATTATCCACAGCATGGACACGCGTGATTCACGTATTACTCCATTTTCCAAATATGCAACATGCATATTACAATTTGACCTGAGCCATGCACACACGTGCATACATGCTTCCACGCAGTACACTAGTAGACGCGTAGTACACAGCAACGACATAGTTATCGACCGGAATAACACGATATATACGTTGAACTTTCTCAAAGTATAGTACTGTATATCTGTATGTGTATGTAGACACTGCACATATACCTACAGAACATAGCAAAATCTAGCCACGCTCCGAGACCAGGAAAACAGATTTATTTATGGGGTTCCCATGAGAGACCAAACCCATACGGGACTAACCTAACCTAACCTCTGCAATTCGAATCGATAACTCTCTCGTTAAATTCGGTAGCCTTTTTTTACTCTCTCATTTCCCGCTGTTCCAACTTTCAGACATACTCTTTGGACAGTCGACTGAAAGAAAAAAGAAGATTGACAAAAAACAAAAGCTGTCCAAATTCTGCCACGGCACTTGATACTAAGCGTATTCCCAGAATATTATTGGATTCTTGACCTATCGGCAACCTGGCACGGTCACCGTATTATCGCATTGATTTCTTTTTTGTTCATTTGGTCATTTGGCCACAATGTCATTCCTTTCAGTTGGACAGGCTGCGGTGAACCAAGGTTTCAAGAGTGTCCCAACCACTGTCAAGACATTCGAAAATGATACGGTTCTACTTCCTTGTTACGTGGACAACTTCGGTGAGTACAGAATTGAAAATGTAAACGAAAATCAATTTTGGCCCCTAAGACACAGCTGCTCTTGATAACGATAACAATCCTAGACTGAAACGCTACATAACAGATCATACGTCCTTATTACGACAAGTCTGCATGCAACTGGCACATAAACCTTACCCTCGTTTAGCCTTTATAAACTTTAGCCTCGTTCATAAAACTACTGTATACATAAAAGGGACAAAGGGATGGATTTCATTCAAAAGTACTATAGAAGCATACAGTCCGTATGCTTATCGATTAGTACGTGACTCGAGAGCACCCTTTTGGTTTTCATCCCCGTGGGATGCTTAAACGAGAAACCGCAAAAAATCAGGCACATTTGAAAATACGTGAAAACGTGGGAGGATTTTGACTGTGAATGTTTTGTGATTTAATCGTTTGTCTCCCTCCCACTCTCGTTAACCCGCACCCAACTCCATGAATATGTGTAAAAAAAATATGTTTACTTGAGATGTTATGAGGAATATTTATTCTTATCGTCAGGCGTACCGACCAGGGTAAGATGGTGGCGCAAAGATACACTTTTGGCTGATAGCGGAGAACCAAATTTGGTATTACCTCCTAGGATTAAAATGTACGGAAACAAGAGCCTGGAAGTGGTGCACGTGCAACCCGAAGATACTGGGGAATACGTGTGCCAAGCTTCTAGACCAGCTCCCTCGGGATACGTCAATCAGGTCCACGCGATCGAAGTCATGTGTAAGTTTATACGCCGATGTACTTATGTTACATTTATATCTACGTAGAACACATATAAAGATATTCCTTATTGATATAACGTTTGTTAGAGGCCTGTGGAGCTGTTGAATTTCATGCGATATATTTGCGAAAAGAATGAGAAATTCTATTGGCAGCATGTTCAATCGGCATTTTGTGACTAATTTGCTGATTGTAGTTGTTAGTAGTTTACAGATCTTTTTTTTTAAGAGAAAAAGTTGTGACCACGTAATTTTCAGAAATTCACCATTTTTTAAATGAAAACTCGATATTACCATTTAATTAATTACTGTTTCGCACTCCTTAATGTTTTATTTTTTATTTTCTAGTGAATGGCTCTCGCGTTAATTGGATTCTTAATAATTTGAAGTCGTTCGGTTGATTGAGTATTCGGATGTATTAATTATAAACATAAAGCTTCTAGATATGATTAAAAGAAGGATTATTAATTTTTTCTTATTAATTTCATAAATTCTGACACTTGTCCATTAAAAGGCTTCCGACAAGTGACTAGAGGCACTTCGCGAGAAAATTGTGGAGTACTCAGATTTAACGCAAAAGTTTGGTGTGATCTGTTAATTCCGCTCGGATTTGACGTTATCCCCTTCGTTTAAAAGATTACGAAACAGGTTACTACTTCTGCTTTTTATAATTTTCTCTGAAACTGTAATGCAAAGAAATATTAAGCATGTGGGAGGGTGTGCCTATTGTGTTTCAGTCAAACGTTTACCTCAAACTTGACTATTTCGCGATTTTCAGACGGCGTGATTCTAGTCACGTGCCAGGAGCATTAACTTTCAGGAGAACGGCTGAATTTTTCAACGACTTCCACAGTTTTTGACTTGGAACTTTGATACATATGCTAAAGTAATACTGATGGAAAAATATGAGACCGATGTAGAGTAGAAAAATCGGCTTCCTGTCATCTCGAGATTAATGGACAAAGTCAAAAAGGGGAGGGAGGAAGAATATAATAAAATGAAATTATCCTGCAGTCAAAGTCCAAATAATTATATAAGCTGTGTCGATAGTACAAAATTTATTTAATACTCGAATATCTTTTGATGTTCAAATAACCTTTGCATAAGGCCTCATTACAATTTTCTTTTAATAAAATATCTCTTCTTCTTCCTCTTCTTCAAGTTGAATTTCGTTTTTACATCCAGACCCACCAAGTGTACAGCCTGTACCACGATCTGGAGAATTGGAGGTAAACCTTGGCGAGGAAGTTGATATGGCATGCGAGGTCGAGGGTGTACCATATCCTGTGGTATCGTGGGTGTCAAAGGTACGTTTCCACAAAAATTCATTAGGAAAAAAGCACTTCTAGGCAACATTATAGACTTGACCATATAAAATTGTACTGTTTCATTTTCTTTCGCTTTATAATCCACCAAACAGGGCGAAGTGCTGCAGTTGCTGGATGATAGACCGCGTTTGCGATTCCGCGCTGATTCGCGAAATCTTTCCGGTCAGTACACCTGTGTGGCCACTAATGGCGTAGGGGAAGCAGCAATGGCTACTATAGATCTACGAATACGACGTAAGTGTATAATATAGAAATATATATATATAAAATGAAAGAAATATAAATATCTACCACCATTTTAACATTGCTATCACACTACCTTTCTATGTTATAGTTTCTAATCGGTTTCAATTAGAGACGGCAATCATGTAAATCGTGCCCCCGTAGCAATTATAATCAAATAAGGAAATTACACAGCAATTCGAGTTCTCAATGGTAGCACGAATTGGCCAATTGACTGTGTCCCGACTCTGCTACTCTGCTCCTTTGACAACCTCTATTATGACACTTTACAAATGAATGTCATTTTTGGTTATCTTTAACGTTCGCTCCTTCAGTTTTATTAAAGAGACTTATTACCCAAATTGCATCTTTCCTGTAATGGTCCTTACTGAACGGTCTATGAATATAAGTGAAATTTCGAAATTCACATACAGGAACTATTTACACTTTGAAAAGTCGCCGGTATTAACGGATTAAGTGGTATTGTATGATACATGTACGCTTTTTAATAATTTCAGTCATTTTCAAAGGAATTTACATGAAAATTAAGAACCCAATATTTTGTCAGTCGCCGAACTTGAATATGATGTAAAAATTATGAAATTCAAAATGGCAGATCCAATATGGCGTCAATTTTTGTAAGAAAAAACATTAATAGTTTACATATAAAACCTATTAAAATTGATATTATAATTTCTACAATACAAAAAAGTGTGTAATTTTTATGTTTGAGACGTAAAAAATATTATATAATTTAATAAGTTATGTAATAAGTAAGTAATGTTGGAAGCAACGATAAGAAATAAATAATTACATAAGTCATATATCTTACACGTTATGTTGTTTAGAATTTTAATCCTAGATCATAAGATGAGATAAAAAAAGAATTTTGAGTAGGGTGAATTCTAAGTATGTGAAATTTAGTCTATTCAAATGAAGCAGATACCGCCATATTGAATCTGACATTTTGAATTTCGCAAGTTTAGACTCCAAATTGTCTTGTAGACAATTGTTCAATAAATATCTTCAGTTTTTTATACATACCTATCACATGAGGCATAAGCTTTTGATGTTAAATGTGCCACGTATTTGCTTAATTCGTATGGTGTGCATGATAAAAAAATATGCTGTCATTTATAACACTGATCATTGTGTAAAAGTAACACAATGCAAGTGGTATATTATTTCGTTGGTGTTGCTAATAAAATTGTAGCACCGATCATAAAATGTTGTAAATCCACGGCGTTTAACCGAATTTGATTTATTCAAGATTTATTTATTTTTTGGTTAAAGTTTAACTTCATTTTGTATCACATTATACTCATTGACATCGTAAAAAAGAACAATCTTCAATCGATAAACTACATTATTTTCGTTGAAATTTCTTCGGAATAAAGAATACCGTTAATACCATGGAGTATGTGATATTTGATTTGCGCCGATGTCAGTTCATAAAATATGCTATTATATGTATATTATTTATTACATCAAATGTAGAAAATTTAATTCCACTGGACATTCCACTATTTCAGTACTGAAATCACTATGCCGTTAAATTTGATCACCATTTTAATCAAATAAAAGCATTTTTGGCATCTATTACCTAACTAGTAATCTAGTAGTACACCTGTCATTGTAGTATTGCATGTAAAATCCGATTCCGTTTGAGATACTTGACCAAGACTTGATAATTTCGTCTAGAAATATCTTGGAAATTTAGTTTTCTTTAGTCATGGAAACATAACTATAATTGCTTTCAGTATTCACTTTACAATAGCAGTTTCACGTTTACCATTCTTAACGAAAAACATTGTATCAAGTAAAGTGGGAAGGCTGTGACGACTGACAATGGGCTAAAAATTCAAATGGAGTTTGTGAACAAACGAAAATATATACGTAATTTTTCTTATTTGCAAGTTGTTTATCACATTTTTGTCGATGAAAATCATTGGGCTTTGGCAGAATCTTTTCACGATCCCAAAGAAAAAAAATTTCATTTATTCTATTCCTAGGCTGCTGAGTGGCTCATATGAGTCCTAACCTAAAAAATCTCCAAAGAGATTTAATTAATGGCTTCTAAAGACGTCAGAAGATACTCTTCATTCAACCACACAATTATTATAATAAAAATGATTGGTTTTCATTAAAAAAGTATCAATAATTAAAGGAGATATTGAGCGTTATAGACGACCGCACTTCTCGCGCATTGCTTCCTTCTTGCCACGATTCCAAGTAGATGAATGCAAATTTTCGAAGTTTTCAAACTACATTTTATGGGGGGGATGTGCCTCTCTACATTGAACCTAACCATTGTTTTAAAGACATAAAAATTAGAACAATAGCAGGTAATGATCTGCAAGACACGACAAATTTGCTAGATTTATTGTTATATCAGTACAAAATAGTTAATTTTTCTTCACAAAATAATATGTGGAGAAAGTTGTTATCTTCATTTAAAAAAACAATGAAGGCGATGCCTTCAGGTTTATTTGAGTTATCGTGGCAAAACTAATGGAAAATGTTGTTTTGAGAAACACGCGTTTAAAGTTCAGGCGTTGTATTATTGTAGGAAACTGTAACTTGTGTACCTAAAAAATTACCTAAGCTGTAAAATGACTTCTCAAGGTTAGTTTCTTCTTCAGCATCAACCACAAAACGTCGGTTCTATTGTGTTTTATCCTCTTTTGTTGATGCCAGCAATTTTTTCTCTGCTTTCAACACGAGTTCGCTGTTACACGCACACCGCCTCACACCTTTGGCTCTCCTAATCTAAATTTTACGAATTTTTCAGTTTTCTTTGCGCCAAAATGTTTGTAGAAGATTGTACTATTAATAGGGTATATCAATAACCAGAATGAAAAATTTTTCAAATTTTAAGCCTTCTTACTTCCATCAAAAGGTTGAGAAATTCATTGAGAATTAATATATTCAGATATTTATTGAACTATTTCTTTCGAGAAATTCAACAATGTCTACTGTATTCGTATATACGAAAATTGTTAGGTATAATTCTTAACTGAAATGACATTTACAAATTCGGTTGGTGACTCAGTAGTAAAATGTCGTAAAGGTAAAGTATTTAATAAACATTAACAATATTTCTAGAAAAATATTGGGTTGGCATGAAAGTAATGAGACATTCTAGAAAACTCTACACATTTCCTTTTTTAAATTAATTGTTTTTAACCATATTCTATTGTATACATACTACAACATACAACATACAACATACTAGAATACGGTCAGAAACAATTAATTTACAAAAGGAAATGTGTCGATTTTTTTAGAGTTTCTTATTACTTTCATGCCAACCCAATAATAACCTGCCTGGCGGAACAAAACTAAATCCAGTGAAAAAATAATAATAATAAATTGCAATTAACTATAAGTAATGGGAATCGTAGTTAATTGTAGTTTGTGGTAGAAAAAAAAATTTAGCCCAATTTCCGATAACTTTCTACGACTTAAGTTGTGAAGAATTTCGCTTATTGTAATTTCGACAAGAAATTACAGCAATCTACAATATTTAATTATTTCGCAAGCTTTGAGAGTGGATAATTGTACCATTCGGTAGTAAATTGTAGTTACTACAATCATTTACAAGCAATTACAAGCTCTTATTCTTTACTTGTTGTTACTTTTTTCTAGAGATTTGTAGTTTATTGTAGTTTTTACAGTAATTTATGACGATCTACAATGTTTAATAAATGAAAATTCTATAACCATCGAAAGGAGGGATTTCGATAAGGCCCTTTATCGGCCCCCCGATAAGTCAAATTTTTCGAAGTTTATTATCTAGATCAGTCTTATTTTTTTTATAATGTAAAAGATATAAGGTTTTTAAAAACGCATACACTTTTTGTGTTACTTGATAGGACCTTTATAAAAATAATTGCTAAACTTGGATTGTTTTACAAAAATATTTCATTTTTCTAGTTTTTGCATTATTTATGTACTTATTTTGTATAGAGCGCAACGAAGTAAAAAAATGAATTTCACATACATATATGGTGCACAAATACATAAGCTACTATACTCATAAAAATTGTCGTGTTACTATACTGCGCTCATGAAAAAAAATAAATGAATCGAATTTTGAATCATATACATATGATAATGTACTGATTGACTGATTTTGCTACATTTTCTTTTCAAAACTTACAAGGAAGGTCACCCTGTACCCCCACAACCTGGGTTGAAAAACTGATATTTTGTAGTTCACATCAAAGTATAAATCCTCACACAAAATGGGCTGCCCACTTGCATATTTAAGGGGTGAAAGTAATTCCTGAAAATCGGTGGTTTTTTCGTTTTTCGCTGATATCTTCGAAACTAAAATAGATACGGCAAAAGTTTAAATAGCAAAGTTATTCATTTTTCAGTGCTCTGCAATAATATATAGTTGACAATTATATAGAAATTGTTTATTTATTTTATTTTCATAAAAAACGTGTTACTTTATACATTTTCCTCTATTTTGACATAATAAACTTAATTGTTTCGACTCAAAAGTCAATGATATCAATCTACATTCGTTTTTTCCGTCTCAAGAACTCATTAAACCGGAGAATTATTTTTTTCAAACGTAAAACAGTAGCTAATCGAAATCTATTTTCCGAATATTCGCGACAACAGTGCGTGCACTCTTAATCGACTCCTGGAGTGGACACTGTCCAGAAATAGTTAATATAGTAACTCTTCCTAACAAAAAAATTGTATTAGAAATTATTCCAAAAGGAACAACAGGGCAAATACAACTATTAGATGTGTTTGGTTTTCGAATATGGCAAAATTTTGTTAGGCATTTTTCAGATGTAGTAATTCTTTCCGGTAGCGATGTAAATCTGCATTTAAGAAATAACATCATCAAACTGCAGTCACTTGTTCACAATCAATTTCCTTCCCCATGTTATATTAATATGTTCAAATATGCATGGTACAAAAGTGGCTACACAGAAAAAAGCACCCCCTGAGTTCGTTAATCCGGTGACGTTTGGTTTTGGAGATAATTCGGAACCGCGACGTCACATTTGTGGTGATTTAGCTGTTATAACATGTTCGTGGTGCAAAAAACCTTTGTGTCTCAAACACTTCTTTGAGGAGTATCATTATTGTAATGAATATATTCCATAATATGAAAGTGAAGAAACTGATAAGTGCATGGCCTGCTTTTTCCTCCTGTTTTCATGAGTACTAGACATCTTAATAGCTCTAATACATGAATTAAAGGCTTCTAGTAAATAAAATGAAGACATGTATATTAAATAAAGTTTTATATAGAATGGAAAATTGAAAAATCATTAAATTTTGAGTCGAAACAATTAAGTTTATTATGTCGAAATAGAGGAAAATGTATAAAATAACACGTTTTTTTATGGAAATAAAATAAATAAACAATTTCTGTATAATTTTCAACTACATATTATTGCAGAGCACTGAAAAAGGAATAACTTTGCTATTTAAACTCTTGCCGTATCTATTTTAGTTTCGAAGATATCAGCGAAAAACGAAAAAACCACCGATTTTCAGAAATTAATTTCACCCCTTAAATATGCAAGTGGGCAACCCATTTTGTGTGAGGATTTATACTTTGATGTGAACTACAAAATATCATTTCTTCAACCCAGGTTGCGGGGGTACAGTAAGGTGACCTTCCTTGTCAGAGCGAATATTGGCTGATGCTATATATATTTGTAAATTTTAAGTGTAGTCCAATAAATATAATATTAAAATGAAAGAAAATTCAGGGGGGCTAATAAAAGGTCTTATCGAAACCCCTCCTTTGTAGTTTTTCGTAGTAAATTATGCTTACTATTGCCACGTACAAGTAATTACAAGATTTTACCCTTTCCTCGATTTTATTTTTCTTTCCAAAATATTTCAGGATAATTATCAATACTATCATAAAAGTATTTTCAAGTCAGTTGATAAAATACATTATTGATAATAGCGCAAAACACCAATTTTGTATAAGTAATAATCATTGATTACAAAGGATGTTCAATTTTTTGCAGTACTTAATTACTACAAAATATTACTAATATTATATTATTTACATACACATATTACCTAAATACTTACATCATGCTACCTATGACCCCAAACTCTAAATGCCATTATTAATTATCAAGCTCGCGTTCCTTTCGATTATGTACAAATTAGATAAAGGTTAATGAACAAGAACCTACAATTTTTGAGGTCAATAACCGCAATATACTATAATTATAATAAGTTTATGACTATAATAAATGATTCAAATCTCGTAATAAGTTGTACTTTTCAACTTCAAAACTTGTTATTTTTGTAGTTTTCCGTAGTTTATTGCAGAATTTTTTTCACCGGAGTTGTTCGTACACCAATCGGTGTGATATGAAAAGGAGCACTTGCATGTATTAATTGCATAATACATTTGTATATAATAGAAGACGATGTTGAAATGGTGTTATTTTTAACATTAAATATTTTATAGTGTACAATGACACTATATAGAAATGTATAAAACAAACTTAAACCTTTTTGCAACAGATAAACCATCAATACAGACGAGAAAGAACTGGGTGCATGCATCGCCAGGAATTCGTGCCCAACTCGATTGTAGAGTGACTTCCTGGCCGGAGGCAAAGGTATTCGGAATGCATTTGTTATGTCGTGAGAGTTCCCTCTAGGTAGACCTGACCTATTTTTATTCCTCTTTATTTGTCATTGCCCTGCTTGTAACTTTAGTTGATTTCTTTTCATTTCCAACGGAAACCCCAGACTTATCCGGTTCTACTTTTTTCTCCCTGATACATTGAACAATTCTGAAGTTATTCACGAAATTACACTATAATATTAGAGAAGTACAGGGTGGTGTTCTAAATGAATATATATATATATATATATATATATATATATATATAAAGTTATACATATAATACATACATTTACATATAAAATAATACATTTTTAATTAATTTTAAATAATTGTCAATTAAAGATAATCAATCAGGAGTGCGTGAATACTGATAATGCGTCCCATTGGTCGAGGGTGTCGACCAATTAACGTGGTCGCTTCCCCTCTCCCACTTCCTCACAAAGAAATCCGACGAATAGGTAAACAAAAATTTGAAAACAATACAGTTAGAATAAATATGATGGATTTGATTCTTTGTGAAAAATTATGTTGACCCTGAAAAAGGGCCAATCATTTGACCGTGCGTCGGCTATTGCAGAAACTGTTCAACACGATCATCTCTTTCTTGAATGCACAGCAGAGTATAACAAGCAAATGATTGGCCCTTTTTCGTGCTGATGTTATTTTTCTCGAAGAATAAAATGAATTATATTTATTGTAGCTGTATTTGTTTGCAAATTTTTGTGTACCTATTTGCCGATTGCCTTTGTGAGAAAGCGGAAGAAGTGAAGCGACCGCTAAAGTTTATACATGGACTGGTCAACATTCTCTACTAATAGTATGCGTTACCAGTTCTCACGCACTCCTGCTTAGTTATCTTTAATTAATAATTACTTAATGCTTACCTTATTGACACAATTATCATCTTTTTTTTACGCCAAATCTGTCGGTATAATTCTTGTCCGGGGCTTATGGAAAATCAGTTGATGTGTTCCGAAATTTACTGACAGTACTATAAAAGTAATTACATCTCTCTTAGATGCGTATTTATGAATAAGGACATAGCGTTAGTTACGGTACTAGTAGTACTGTCAGTACATTTCGGAACACACCCAATATTTCTTAAAATCGAATAACTAGCTTTAAACTCATAGTGTCATCTAGTGGCTATATACATTAATTAATATGTGAGATTGACACGTCTATTTTATTGTTATACTAATTTAAACAGGTGGAGTGGTTCTTTGAGGATCAGAGAGTACCTTATTCGTCGCGTATTGTGAAGCATTCCTATGGGGAAGATCACAGTCTGATAATACGCAATGTACGCACCCTGGATTATGGTTATTACCTATGCAGAGCCTCGAATTCTGTAGGAATCTCCGAGGAAATCATTGAGTTATCTGGTGTGGCGAATCCCGCTATTTTCAAGGAATCGCATCCCGTTGGTAGGACGGCATACAACTTTATTTGGGAGGTTGACAGTTATAGTCTGATTATAGATTATCAGTTTTGGTTCCGCAAATATTCGGTAAGTTATGATGTTCAGAATTGATATGGTTTTCAAAAGATCAAATGTTTTAATCTCCGTGACCTTATGATTAATATTGTTTGAAAATTCTGATACGTTCGCTCCATATATATATTTTTTGTAAAAAATTGCAGAAAGGAGTTCATGGACAGTGGCACAAATTATATATACCAAGCGGAAGTGAGGCCATCGGTCCTGTGCACGCACGAGCTTTTAATCTTACCGGATTGGCTCCCGCAACACATTACGAAGCTGTTGTGCTTTCGCGTAACTCTTACGGAATAAGCCGGCCTTCGAAGATTATGCGCTTCTCTACAGATGGCGCCAGTAAGTATAGCCATAATAACAGCAATATGCTTATCGATATTCTCATTAACCCTTGGTATTGCATTTTAGCGACGGAATCTGAACAGCAATTGTTTGAAAAACCCAACATCCCAAAAGAGAAAATTTTACCAGGTAGTTTTCTTCTTTATAACATATTGTAAATTTTGTCAAACTTTACATTTCTTTTCAGCCGTTGAAGTCGCATCTATGTCTCAACATTTACCACCAGTTGATACAGAGAGCAATGATGCCTATCGCGAACAATCTAAATGCATATTAATAATTTTACCGATGATTCTGAATTTTTTTAATTCTTACTAGTGATTGTAGATAACACTAAGTGTAAATAAGACTGAGTTTCGGGGAAGTATGGAATAAACATGACATAGGATAAAAGTGTGTTGAAATAAATAATTTGATTCATATACTTACCAAGGTAAAGAATTTCTTTTGCAAATACAAATAATCCCATAGGTTGAGCAGGTCAGTCTTTGAAAAACACCCAAAATGTATATGCAACTTCGATAGACGTTTAAAAGAAACTCAGAAATGATTAAGACCACAAATTTTACACGACTGCCTTTTGTGAGGTACGATTAATAGAAAATTAAAAAAATTATATTCCCGTTCTAGATTAGTACCTTCAAATATTGAACGAACAATTATCACATTGTTCTTGACCATTGAAAAGAATTATGATCATGATTTACATACATTCTGAATAGAATCTCATAATACTAAACTAAAACGAAAACGTTTGGCAACGTCCTCTTTTTCGATTTGTAAGGCCTCATCGCAGGATGAGCTTTTACGAAGGGTGACGGAGGCCCTCATTATGAAATGAATTTAATTTAAATATCATTACAGCATGTGACAAAAATTATGTATCCACCTTCTGCATTACTGACCTGACTGATTCGGTGTTTTTCATTTTTTTTCCATCTTACTGTATATAAATTGTTGCCACCGTTACCATTCATTTTCTTCTTTTCACTATCATTCTTTTCGACTTTTATAATCATTACATTATCATTATCGTAATAATAAGTATAATATTAATATTATAATAATCAGACAGATTCACACGACGTACCGCAACAATATGAAAAAGTGTCACCTCGACAAAATTCGTGTGAGTTTTCTTATTCATTTTTTCCCATATCTTTTTCTCTTTCTCTTTCTCGCTCATTTCGTGTGCATGTCATGAATATCGTGTGCGAGTGTGTTGTATTTCCCATTTTTTATATTGTAATCATAATAAAATTCTCACGAAATTTCCCCCTACAGTAACAACCAAGAAGTGAAGAGAGAGGAACAAACAAGAATATTTAAGCACCGTTGCGAGAAAATCCGAAAGATAAAATAAATTAATTGTCACGAAACGTCCCTGTAAAACCACCTGATAATTATCTCAAGCTCGCAGTTTTACTCTCCCCATTTTTTAGCGTCCATGAACGATAGGCAATGATAGCATGATAGATGATATTTGATATTAAAAAATGAAAAGAACGAATTCGATAAAAACTCGTGGTAGACATTGATGAGACCTTATCACTTATATATAAGTATATCTATATATAGATCCTTTGGATCTCCTGCTGCTGCTTTTTGTTGTTGTTATTGCTGACATATTTCTTTATATTTATTGTTCTCGGTTGTTATTGTGGGAAAAGAAATTTTACTGTGTTAGTTTTCCTTGTTCATTCACTCGATTACTTCGTTATTTCTCTTATGTCTCGGATTTTCTTGAAACGATAATTAGGTGTCCTTGTCTGTTGTTCTCGTTTCATTTTTCGTTTGTAACTGTAGGGGGAAACTCGTTCGCGGAATACTTCATATTTAATTCCTGTCGGTGGATCGGAGCTTCTCCTCAACAGCCTCTTCAGATGCCTCTGAAAGGTCTGTCGCCTGGATGTACTTCTGGACACCAACGAGGGACTTCTTGAGGGCGTCGAAGGAGCTGGAATACAACATCTTCTTCTTAACCTTGGCGGTGTCCGGGCACCACGACATCAAGAACAATTTCTGTTTCTTGGAAGCCTAATCAACAAAACAACAATATATCATTAAAGACGAACCAAGTTCAAGATTAATGAGAAAATAATACTGTCATCAGTGTTCATACCTCTGATGTGCCCTGGCACTGGTGAGTATATTCGAAGTCGAAGAGTCCATAACGGCACTCGCCGCTTCCGCCCTTCTGCAGATCTTCAAGGAAAGCATCGTAGGCGGCATCGCGCGGCCCAATGACCTCCACGTCGATCTGTTTCTCGTCTTTAATGTAGAAGATAACATAGCGGTGCTTCTTGTCCTTCTTGATCTCCTCGTACGTCGTCTTGCAAACGTCCGCTACAGTTACTCCGGATGCCTAAAAATAATGAAGACATGAAACTTAACATGATCTCTATTAATTTATTCTTTCAGACATTGGAGTCTTCAATTTTAGCCCTGCAAAAACACGCAAGGGACAAACGAAGATGCCTAAAACATGCTTAAAGATGGCCACACGAATGTCGGACAGATGCGCCACGCGTCTCCGAGACTGCGGATAACTTTAGAAACGGATCGCTGCTCTTTTAGCATCGAATTCGTGCGTGGGAAGACTTTATTTCGGTAGCTGCTCCTTACAACACGCTGTGGACTACGCGATCTTTACTTATGAATACTCTCCGTACTCTTTTGATCTGAAATTAGGAGTTTGCGGTTTGGTTATCGATAATAATGATCAGAACGCAGATTCTGCTGATAGTGGTGTCGATAATGTTTCCAATTAATCATCTCCGTTTACACTATGTTCTAATGGTTGGGATGAATAAGGTACAAGCAATTGTTTTGAATTTTTTGAACATATACTAGGGAAGGAATTGGATGGGCTTTTCTTCACTTTATAGAACAAGCAACCAGCTGAAAGTGTAATTCAAGTCGATACGTTTTCGTTCTCAAATAGTGCAGAGGTTTCGCATTTAATTTCCTGTACATGAGCCAGAATATCGCTACAGAATTTACGATACTTAACGTCGTCCCGAGGGCTTTAAGCCAAGACACCTTGACGTCACATGAAAACTGACGTGGTTAACTTTTTGTCGTGAAATCGCACTCATTGTCCTCCATGTTCCCCAATCAAAATGTCATTAAATTATTCGTAAGAGTATTCAGTGAACGTGACGTGATTATTCTAAACCAGAAAGTTTCGATAAAGTCGACAGTTCTCTCACTTTTTCCAGATAGCACGAGGGATGAATATCGATAAATGAAGAGATAAAAAAAAGAGGGACACTTATGACTCAGGAAATAGACCACGTTCTGAGCTGCTACGAGCAGCCAAACAATTCTGAGGTGTATTTATAAATTTGGAATATTCAGGGTTGTAACATATCGCCGTAAGATAACAAATAGCGTAGATTTTTCGAAATATTACAATAAGAAATTGAGGTAATAAAAATCAATTTAATAAAAAGACTAAATAAACAAATCCCCTATATAATTGTTTTTATTTTGTTTGATTTGAAAAATTGCTAAAACTTTCGAACTATTTGCTAAAGATTATATCGGTACAGTAAAATAAGCGTAGAATAAGAAAAACAGTAAGTAAAAAACAATCTTAAGGTGTTCCAACATTAGAAGCTAAAAATATGTATTATTATTATTATTATTGTTGTTGTTATTATCATTATTACGAAATAACGATACCGATTCAATGTACGATTAATCAGGATGCACGGCACCGGTTGACGTTTTATCGATTAGGCAACGTCGCACTCGGGCCTCGCATTTAGCGCCAAAGGCGAGCACAAGGAACACCTAAAATGGCGTTAGAAACGTTCGTGCCCTCAAAGTCCGAAGACCAATTTCGTACAAGATCGTTTGGCAAATAGAAGCAATTAAGTCTTTTTATTAGAGAAAAATCTAAGCTGGAATAATGAAACTATTTAAATAAAATTTTATGCTCGAACGACGATATTCGGTATAGAAATAATGCGTTTCAGTGAATTTATAAGCAGCTTGCGCAACGATGAAAATCCAAATTATTCTAGTAAAATCTGCTAGAATCCTCCAAATAATTTATAAGTGTTAGGAAGGTAACTAGGAAGGCTAATTGTACGTCAGTTCTTAAGAAAAATTAGAAAAATTCAAATCATTATCATATACAGATTAACGAAGTACTGTTATCAATATTCAAGAGTAAGACTCAAAAAACATACGAATATATCTATTAAAAAAGTGTTAGAAATATTCAAGAAATTGCAGCAATTGCTGGTGCAGACAACAAAGAGAATCCTGTGAACTTTATAAGACTGGCAACAATGCATTTTTGCAAGGGGCGTAATATTTTGCCATGGCGAAGGGAAAGGTATCAGAGAGTGGGAACCCTATGCAACCGTTCGATCGATATTTCAACGCAATGGGGGTTGTGTGTATTATATATACAGACTAATGGCGTGCTCGCAGCACCCTCTAGGACATCGTCGTGGCCTACGAGAAGGCTTTAGCCTTAGCCAAGGTCGAATGGCAGATGATTCACAAAGTTCCTAAAATCCGTTTACCATGTTGCGAAACGTCATTGAACTTTGCGAAAGTTACTTATATGGCAACATGATAGACACAATTGACCTCTTTCTACAGGCAGAATCATTTATTTCCCATACACAAATAATTAGAATTCTCTTCCCCACTACAAGGAATCCTATCTTCCATCCATGAAGGTTAACGTACAGTTCTAACCGAATAGAGTATATTGCAGGACGCACTGTCACAATCATATGGAGCGTCAGGTTAGAATCGGCATGGAAGAAAAATAACGAAACACGCCGATATAATCGACTCGGGAATCTCCGTGAAAATTCGTAAGCCTGATTGGCTGCCATTACGGATTACGATATAGACTGATAAAGGTCGATCGTTGCGCATCGGCTCGATTCGGAATAACTTCAGGTTTTTCTTATAGATTCGGCCAATGTTGTCAGTATCTGCTCCTTTCCGTGGATCCAAAACCATGCCTCCTTCATCCCTCGTGTTATCGCCAGATATAACGAATACGCCCTCGCACCGTACAAAATTATCTACAAGATTCTTCTTACGTTCCCAGGCAAAGTTTCGCTTGATCACACTCTGATTTCTGTTACTACCAAATGAAGCGTCTTTTTTCGGCTTATCAGGAACGTCGCCCTGACAGCTAGCAACTGAATTGCTTCGCTACAAGCATTAATTTCTGACCGATCGAATTAGCAGGACGCTTTCCTTTCGTGTAAAACTAGTAGTCGTGAGCTTCACTAATCAGCATATTTATCTTATGGCGTGTCGAAAAAGAAATTCACATAATCGATAGACAATTACGAGAAAAAATGAGATACTTGTTTTATCGATCCATTATCAAACTGATCGCGTCAATGCATGATGGTCGTCACGCTTCCATGAATCTGCAATATGATTCATCGGAACGTCGTATGCCGTTTCCAGGAAGTTGAAAAGTCTGATTTACATGAGGGAGCAAAAGATACAAAAAAAAAAAGGCTTTAGAAAGTAAAGCAGGAGTTGTAGCACTCCAGGAGGTAGCACTGCGGAGGTAATCACGTATCAAAGTACTTCTTGGATATGAGATATGAAGACTTGTTTGAAATTTCTTGGTTATAAATTCAATAATCCATGAGGTATTTCTAATTCACTAGCAATGGCGAGTAGCAGAATTAGTTGCTATCACCAGACGTGAAGAACAGAACGAGAAATATTTGCAAAAACTAGTAGAAACGATATCTAGTCGTACCAATGAGTAATGGCGATTGTTCGTATCTGTTGAATATGAAAAAGAATCTTGTCTAGAGTGCAGATCCGCACTTTCTTCTCGCCGGGAATCCAGAAATGGCGACCGGTGCGTCTGCTCAAACGGCCTAACCACAAAACTTGTTCTCGCCTCCCGGTACACACTGTTACTACCTCATCGCGTTAGGTTCTGGTATCGGACACACTGTCTCTTTTAACGATAGTCTTTCTGTAGCTACAAGAAAAACCGCTTTCACCAATTCGAGGAATATTAAATTTATAAGACGGCTTCTGAAAAAAATATGAAATATGGATATTTACCATTTTTGGAAGTGGCCGCCGATAGGTGAAGTCGAGTAAACAAGCACTAACGACACTTTCTTCGCGGCAGCTCGGCTCTGGTGGAACTGGATAGTCGTGTCCAGTCAGGGGGTCGCAAACTCGCACGAACGACGGGAAGGGAGTAGTCCGTCTCCGGCACAGCGAAAATCTGTATTCCTACGCGTGCGCGAGCTCTCTGATTGGCTGGAGTTTGATCATGGGCCGGTAATATCGGCGACTGGACACGACAGTTTCATTTGCAAAACATAATATGCACGTGTAATTTTCTTGACGTGATCCTCAATGAGATTCCTGGAAGCGATGGTGGCGACAATCGGGATCCGATACGTGCGACGGGATCAGCTCGACTGCTCGAGAATATTGGACAATTTTACAGTGCCGGTAGGACTATTTTACGTGGGCGTTGTCGAGAATGCTGCGCGGCTCTGTAGCCGGTTTATATAAACCCTATTTTTGAGCAGCGCGGTTAACCTCTCGAGTCATTCCTTACTTTAATAACGATCATTGATTTTCTATGGAATCGCTCGTTGATATTGATTAGTCATTGTGACTTACACTCTTTGGGAGAGTATTTGATTTTTTAAATTTTTCATCTCTATGATCGTTATAGTTCGCTCTCTCCGACTCATGGAGGATTATCAGAATTAGTCATCGTTGTGACGTGTCGTGGATACCTGACCAATCGCTGAGCGGGACGTGGGGAAATTGCCTTATATGGGCAGAGGCATGCAACTGGCAGACACATTTGACTCGCGCTGTTGCGCACGCATGCGACCGTTTACGAATAGATTGTCAGTTTTAAAAGAATTTTTGGTATCGCCACTCGATGGCAGCACACTGATAAAAACTTTTTGAATTACTGGTTTTATATATATAAAAAAAAGGATTGTATTTATGTCGAAATTATAATAGAGAGTGTCAGTGTTATCTTAGGTACGTTACAAAAGCATTAGTATTACAATAAAGAACAATTGTTGTATATTCGTATATTTTATTTGGTATTATTTGACATACTTAGTCATATTGATAAGAGATGGCGCCATATGTGATAGAAACCAAATAGTAGGAATCATTTTAAATATTTGAAAACTGATAAAATAATCGTAATATTAATCATCGCATAACTTCATTTACTCATTAATTTTTGCGAATCTTCTAATTATAAACTATAAAATCATCTGAAAAAAGTTGATCAGTCTTTGTCACGTCTGTAAATCAAATTGTATTATTGCGAATGAATTATGAAAATAGGGATGACTTTTCAAACATTATTGTATTGGCGCTATATGCTATAATACATAAAGATTTTGTATACATTATTTTCCGTAGACGCAATTGCATGCGCGTGCATTCATGTACGTCGAAATATTCATATAGACACGTGTATATGTACAAACCCATATTTTACCACACTATATTTAAAAGACGTACGTACCAGAAATGATAAGTTAACAAGTCACAAGTTACAAAGTCCATTCAAGCCAATAAGTATTTATCGCATTCGTATTGATCCTCCTCAGTATTTTATGACCCTTATATCATAGGACACAAGATACTGTTTAATTTTCTTTGCCTAATTCAAAATAAAGGTACCGTATATATATGTTCTTTATACTCCACACGGTCATACGGTCCACTTATACCCCGTGCAAAAAAGGTCTTATTAGTAAAATAATGATAATTTTCTAAAAATCCAAGTCTCACGTTTCTGTTACCCAACATTGCAGTGAGACTACAGGACACAAAAGTACGAAAAAATTCTTTATATTTGGTTCACATGTCTATCCTGTAAAATCGCGAATACGTACGCGTAGCACAAGTTATATGTACAAGTCAATGATGTAAGCAAGCAACGACAAATGCTACATTCGCCGTCAAAGAAAATTGTAAAAAAAACTAAACTGTCTTGTATTCTAATACGAAGAAAAGAAAAAAAAAGAAGTCAGTGTGTCGCAGCGAATGAGAAAGAACAATGTAAAGTTAGTTTATAAATAATTTTAACGTACAACAGAATAACACTGTCAACTTGATCATCGATCATTCTCTTCACGGTTTTGCTTTCGCAAAAATTATGCAATTTCATATTGCCGATCATTCACTATAAGCATGATACATATAAAAACAGATCGCAAGGGATCTACAGAAAAAATGATAGTATATTATATAAATACGTTTAACCTTACAACGTATCGACGCATTGGATCGCATATTACGATCATAAATCATTCTATCCACATGAGGGTTATTGGCGCAATTGTAATCTATCTAATTTGCGATCATATTACATGATGCATAAAGGACGTAATAGAAAGGATAGAGAAAAGAGGACAGGAAAAAAATAGTAGGAGAAAGGGGGTGTATACAGAAAAAGGCGTGAGCAAAATCGCCAATAATTATCGCAACTATTCGTATCGAGAAAATATAACGCTACAATTGTTATAAATAATTAATACACGCGCGTGTGTCCATAAGTTCTCGTAGTCGGGAGTCGACCGCTTTAAGCAACAATCTTGTCAAAAATAAAGGAATTCTTATTGCTGATTGATCTCCTATGAATTGGGAATAGTGGAGGTTGTGAGGAGACGGGATGAACGTGTAAACACGAATCCCATACGAGGATCATAACGCCCTCAGGATATCAGTACAGGATCTAGAGTGTAGAAAACGTTAGATGAGACCCCGTTTTTTCTTGTAATCTTCTAGATTCAATGAACGCCTTGGTCCAGTGTCCTTGATATTACTTACCGGTTTAGGTAAGACACTCACGGGATTGTCTAAAGGAATAATATATTCCGTCAATCAATTCCTATAAAGGTTAGATCAAGAAATTGCGATACATAAGAATATAATACTTACTCGGGATGGGTACTTCGAGATCTATCGTGATGTCAAAGTCATGAGCATTGAAGAGATCTTCAGTGCTTTGCTTCTTCTTTAATTCCTGGCCATTTTCTTTCTCATTTATGGAAGCCAGAGATTCACCGGTTTGTTGAGTATTGGCTTTATCGTCTACTGGAACAGTCTGAGGACCATCCTCTTCTTCTGGTTTAAAGACCATCCTTGGCTTTGTACTTCTTCTGGTGAAAGGATCGTCGATCTTCTTTCCTTTATTCGCCTTTATCTCTTCCTGTGCATAAAAGTAAAAAATGATGTAGTCTTTTCATTTTTGATAGTTTTGTTTTTATCAAAATATCTTAATATTCATGTGTTAAATGTTGAAGAATAAGAAGCCTTACCATGATGGCCTTTTCGGCTTCCTCTACGTTTTTCTTCCTGTTTCTGTCATTAATATATGAAATACTGGATATCGTTGCAGTCCTCATCTTATCCAACTCTGAAGCTCGCTCTTCTAATTCACTCAATTCTTGATTAAGTCTACTAGCCGTTTCGTCATCACCACGACAATTCGCAGCGTCTCTTTCACGCATCAGTTGCGCCTTCTTCATGGCATAATTGTAGGGATTCTGTTTAAACCTTTCTTTTTCCCTAACAATTTTCTCAATGTCCTCCTCTTTAAATTCGTAAACCAGTGCTTCCTTTATATCCTTAAGCTTCTGTTCTACTTCATCGAAGGTAGGCATCGAGATACCTTGAAGAGCACAAGTTTCCTTCCATTTGAAGAATTCTGATTCAGTGAATTCTTGATTTGAGACAAACTCTAACCTAAAGACGCGTTCCTGAGCACCATGCCTCAACTTCAATCCTTTGTTCGTCCTTGTTCCTCCAAGTTGATAGATCTTTCCTGTCTCACAAACTCCGCTGATCTCCGCCACCCTGTAGACGGGCTTTCCATTGTTGTTCCCAATCCCGATTCTGACGAAGCATCCTTGCACCACTCGGTCGAAGAAGGGTAGATGTACAAACCGTTCCATTTTATGACGGGACAGTCTGACCTTATTAAGATCCTCCTTCGTGTTTACGTAAACTGGTTTCTTGGGCTTGCTTTTAGTACTGGTTACAGATCTATAAAAAGTACATAAAAATGAGATTATTCAGTTATTTATTTAAAGACCTATATGTCATATTGAAGGTGAATCGGAATATCTACATACTTCTTGTCGTTCTCAGAATCGGAATCCCTACTGTCGCTTGAAGATGATCTGCGATGAGAAATACGTTTAGCAGTTTCTTCTTCTTCAGCACTGTCCGAAGATCCGCTATCATCTGAATAAATGTCAGAAGCCTTGAGCTTCATTTTATTCGCGCCGCCCTTATGGTCGTCTTCGAGTTCCTCTTCCTCCATGTCTTTCGACTGCTGTTGTTGCTGTTCCATTCGCTGCTTCTCCTTTTCCTCTGATAACATGATCAGATAAACGTATTTGTATAAAATTACAATATAAAAAAATTGTAAAATTTACCAGGTTATAAGCAACTAACCTCGTTCTTTCTTCTCCTCTCGTCTGGCTTTGAGAAGTGTCATAGCATGGAATTTCTTATCTTGTTTTTCTTCAATAGTTTTCTTCCGATCTTTGCTTCGTTCCTTGGGGTCTGGAGCTCTGTCAAATTTCTTTTCTTCAGCACCCTTTTCCTTTCTCTTGGACTCCTTTTGCTTCTTTAACTCCTGTTTCTTAGCCATTCTCAGTTTCTTCTCAATTTCAAACCTAGTCTTCATAATTTCACGCTGTTCGATTCGCTTGAAAATTTCCTGCTCACGTTCTTTTTCTGTCATCTGTGCGAGCCGCGCCTGATCCTCGGCGTCGCCCATAAGTTTGTCATCATAGCCATCGTTGAATTCTTCCTGACTCGAATCCGATACACTTCCATCCGAATCAGAAACTTCACCTGTAATGAGAAATAACAATCATCACATTGTCAGTATAAGAAACATTTTTGGAGATCTATAATGGACTTAGAAGAGGTTTCTACCTTCTTCTGGTTCTGAGACTTTTGCTGGTTCCTTATCGCTAGTGCTATCCTCAGTGCTGGATTTTGTGACTTTACGTTTACTGCGTTTAGCTGACGTCTTTTTCTTTTTAGTTTTACCACCTTTGGCTCCCCAATCATCATCCGAGTCAGATGTGTCTGAGTCAACTTGTTTAGAATCCTTCTTGCCAGAACCAGCATCATCGTTGGATTGCGAGTCATCTTGGGATTTACTCTTTTTTTTCTTAGCCAAGGATAATAAATCCTGATAATATTAAAAAAGAATTATTCATCCAAGAAGAAATAATTAATTCTTATTGATTCTCCGTCATGGTCTGGTCATTAAGTTAAATTATATATAGGTACTAAAATAATATTTGTACTAAACATAAAACTTTGTTAAAACTTGTAAGTTGACAATAATTTGACATAAAGTATAAAATATTTGAATATAAAAACATAGAAAATGTTAATATTTTCACAATATAAGTATCTGTCAAAATTCGAAAGAATGTATTTTTATGAAACTCATATCCTATAGAACTGGTTCGACAGTAGGATATGTTTGTTATAACAGACAGTTCATTGTAAAAATAGATTAATTAAAAATAAAAACAGGAAAGCGTCCAACAAGGCCGCCAAATTAAATATAAACCTGTGATGAATATAAGGTTATGTCGCTGTGGAAAATAATAGACAAAACATTTCTTCTTCAATGGTCATTAAGCCACATTATAAATGTAAATAACAAATTTAATAAGAATTTTTACAAAAAGGGAATAAAAATTTCTATAGGATCAATGCCATTAAATCAATGAGCATTTGTTTCGGAAAAGGTTATGTCCTTACGTTATCCAAATCCGAGCCACTCTCGGAGACGCTCCCGCTACTATCAGAGTCAATGAGTGCCTGATTCTTTCTTTTCGGCATTATTACTCGAATTCCTCCGAGGAAATGATGGAAAACACTAGCTTTCCCGTATAAGGGAAACCTAATGTCATGCAAAAGACAATAAACCAGAAACGCCCGCGCACAACAATGCCCACTTCTCAAGCATAGACACCTTTCTAGGTTATATTTACAGCGAGGCGACCTTCATGAGATCCGCTCCTTCTAACATTTGTATATGCTTCGGAGTACTATAGATGTGTTCGAAAAAGGGTGAAGTATGTTGAAAGTTTTACATCCTGAGACCCTATTCTCGAAATCGTGGCACAATGGAGAACTGGACTGTGACGGGAATTCAAAAACTGTCTAGGTAGTTTGGTAGAATATGATCGTAGAATGCCAGAATGCTGATTAGATAATTTATTTATTACTTAAATATTAATGAAATCGATATTAAAGTTTGCTAAAATGTTGCTTTAAAGTGCGGGAGCGAAAACACTTTGTGATTGGTCGTGACGTCACAACCTCATATCCTTATATGGTGTTTATTTTATAGCCAAATAGCCAATGAGGAATGCCCGTATTCGAGCTTCGTAAGTTGGCGGCGAATGGTCGGCGTCATAAGACGTTCGAACCTCAGTGAAGCTAGCCGGACAACTTTAAGGTTTTAACTTTTTATCACACCTAATCGTTTGTAGTCGTTTGATGGTCATTGGTGGCCTAATTAAAACATTTGGCGGTCAGTCATTCTTTTATAATCAAATAATCAAAATTTGATCATGAAGTTAGCCGAAAAATATTTTTTTTCAACGAATTAAGTTTTTCAGGTGCTGAATCGATGCGTAATCGTTTGGTAGTAACGAATATCATAATTAAAACATTTGGTGGTGGTTAGTTTTCGTACAAAATTAAAAAACGATGCAGTCTAGCTGGACTGGATATGGGTGTATGAACACACATTTACGGTCAATAAAACAAATATTTATGAACAGATTGTCCTTTCGAAAGAATTAATCAGTGCAAGAACTCTAGCCAATGATTGGTAGTCTAATTAAAACATTTTGTGGTCATCAATTAATGCACGAGGCGACACAGTAACGTAAGCGAAAGTCTCAGATTATTATAAAGAAGGCTCCAGAGCCTCAATATCGCCGGAACTAAAATTCTGTGTACAGTCAACCGCATTAATGGTATAACGGTTGTCGCCGTGCGGTGAGGTAAGAGAGGAGATTTGGGGGGCGCCTGCTCGCGTACCTTGGCCTATGCGTGCAACGCAGAAAGTACTACGGTGCGAGCGAGACGCCAGAGCGTCGCTCGGTGGGTCCTTGTTGCACAACACTAGTGTAAGCGAGACGCCAACAAGGCCCCTCATGCGCAATAGGGAGCTTGGTGGGGGACTGCTCGTGTCTGGGCGCACGCTCTTGCTCTCTCTCTCAGGCCAACGCTCTATGACGAGGAGAACAGCAACTACCAGGATAAGAAACGAGAAGGACCTATGGGACTTTCGGTAGTGGGAATGAGATAGACTTTTCGATTATCCATCCTCGTCAAACAGCGTTAGTAAGACAAAGAGAAATATATGCGACTTGGTGGCTAGGAACAAGTGTCCCAGCGTCTAACGCATTGAAGCGTTCTACGGTGCGTCCTTTTCGCACAGCACGGGTATAAGCGAGACGGCAATAGGTCCCTGAGTCGCACCTATTCACAATGCGTTAGACGCTGGGACACTTGTTCCTAGCCACCACGTCGCATATATCTCTCTTTGTCTTATTAACGCTGTTTGACGAGGATGGATAATCGAAAAGTCTATCTCATTCCCACTACCGAAAGTCCCATAGTTCCTTCTCGTTTCTTCCTTCCTTCCTTTCCTTATGGCTGTATCCCCAATGGGGGACATGTGCCAGCTTCTCGTTTCTTATTGGAGTAGTAGCTGTTCTCGTCATAGAGCGTTAGTCTGAGAGAGAGAGAGAGAGCAAGAGTGTGCGCCCCACTGATATATATACTAACTGGATACGAGCTGGCCGCCATAATCGTGTACCCATTAGAAGCTTGGATTCGACAACCGCGACGCCTGGCAGTCAGGCACGGTACTACGTAGTTCGCGGCATATTTAATAAAAGGATGGAGAAAAGTAGTAGGAAACCACGGATCGTTTATATACGGAATTAATGCAAATAATAAAACGGTATATATACAGTTTGTGGAGAAACTTGAACGTTGCATTTTATTATGGTATACGTTGTAATATTGCCTTTTATGGTGATGAATGGCAATATTACAACATATATATCTTACTATTTGTAAATGAACTTCTTAGAACATGTGGAATTGTAATCAATTGTGTAAATCAGATGTGTAAACTATATGCACATGCAATTTATAGAATTTGAAGATAATATGTAATAAAATTATGAGGTATAGAAAATATTGGTTATTATTTCAAAAGTTAATAGCAGCTAATGAAATTGAAATTGATTACTTATGTACAATTGAGTAGATCACATATAGATCTTTTTACATTGTCCCTTTGTACATGTCCCGACCATAAATATAGAAAAGACATACATGTAGTATAACCCTGCGGGAGGAAGCCGTCCGGGGTGGGGTGCCGAGGTAGACTGTGCCTACTTGTGATTGGTTACTATTGGAGGCAAGCGCAGTTATGTAAAAGTGCTACGTAAAACAAGGAATAGTAGTACCAATCATGTTAAGGCACAGTAAGGGAGGGGTCAGCTTGAATTTAATTGGTTATGCAGCGAACTCCCCCACCCCCTTTTGTCACGCGCCCCTCGCCAAAAATATCAGTTTATGCTACATCAATGTCTTTTCTATATCTATGGTCCCGACTGATGCCTGCCATAGTGAACTCGTATCAGGTTAGTATATTGCTCGAATTTCTGTGCTCGTGAATTTTTATTTCACGAATTTTTTTGCGTTTTAGTTCTGAATTTGTTTAATATTATAATAATAATCATGCAAATATGTGTTGTCATTATAATTCTATTATTTTTGCTTCTTGTAAATAATAAAAATCAGATTGTGAAAATATGTAAATACAAATACAATTCCTATACCTAGTTTTCTTGACTGCATTATTCCCCTATACACAATATTTTATATATTATACTCCATATAAATATTTTACAGCGGTAGCTATTGCGAACAAGTTTTCAAAATGTTATTACTTTCGTTATAATTTAATAGCAAAAATAATAAAATTGTAATGGCAATACATATTTGCGTGATTATTATCACAATATTAAACAAATTTAGAAATAAAATGCAAAAAAATTCATGCAAAAAAAAAGTTTACAAGCAGAGACTCGAACACAAAAACTTAAAAAGTCACAAGCCTGCATGTTCAATTTTTTTTACATCCAATTTTTCTTAATTGTTATGAGTAGTTATTGAACTTTATAAATAAAGTTTACAAAAATGATCAAAAAATAAGTAATTTAAATAATTTTTGCAATGTAAAATTCCTTTCACTCTAGAAATGGACTTTGTTGTTGAAAACGATGTGCTATTGAAAACTAATATCAGAAGACATTAAACAATTAATGATTATTAATAAAACTAGGACTTTTTTAAAAAAGTTGATAAATGTGAAAAAAATGGAGTTTCACATTGAAAAAATGATTGAAGTTACTTATTTGTTGGTAATTTTTGTTAAATTTATTAAGGTGTCTCTATGGACAGCAATTTTAAAAATATAAATAAATCGCTAGATACCGATAAAATCTTTTAAAAAACGATAATTTATATTATTAAAGATTTGAGATATTATTTGCATCCGACTATATACCTAAATATGCGAGTTTCAATTACTCGTAATTATTGAGATAGCTTGGCAATGGCGTGTTCATTTTTTTTGGTTGCCGACTCCGAGCGGCGCGCTTCGCGCAGCAGCTTTGATAATATGATTGACAGATTGCAACAGCTGGCTCGAGTAATTCTTATATTTATAAAAATGCATGCGAACTATAGGTGTATATGTAACAAAAATATGTATATGTATATGTAACAAAAATACGAGTGTGTGCGTTACGTATACCATTAGACCCCCCTATCTCAAATACAGTGTTGTCAATTCACCACAATTTTTTGGCGTTAGACACATTTTCAATCAAAATTCATTTCCGCGGACCGATATTACTTTTTTAGAACATAGGCAATCTCAGTAAAACTTTCTGTAAACCTTCCTTATATTGTTCACTACTTATTATCAATTTTATATATGGCTCGAATTTGTTTGGAAAAAGATATGGGACGATATATCGATGTGTGGGTCTATAACGTTATAAGGCCTATGCATAAAACTGAATAGAACGGTAACTTTTGACTTCAAATATTGAAGTAACGAGGTAAGCGATTACTTTAAAACTTCGTAAGAGCTTGCACAGTGTGTTGACAAATATGTATACTGAAAAATTTGGAATTTATGGTATTTCATGCTATTGTCCATAGAAGCACCCTAATTATGCTACCCAAAAATAGATGAAACAAAATATTTCTAAGCAGATATATTTTGCGTTTTATATCACGATATAAAATAATTGTTTTTTTAATATGCTCTTCATTTTAATAGATATTATTTATGATATTGAAAATTCAGACGGAGTGTCATTCTTCTCCGCTTTGTTTTTTGCAAAAAGTCCTGTGACTGTGACTCCCGTGCGTTTTCATCATTTGTTTCTTGCGTCTCGAAAGTGGCAGTTCGCTCTACATTTCGAAGCAAACAGCGAATAAATATAAACGTATCAGGTATGATACGTATGACATGTATGACATACAGATATGTATGACAATACATATTTGTCTGATTATTATTATACTATTAAACAAATTTAGAAATAAAATGCAAAATATTCATGAAAAAAAAAGTTTACGAGCAGAGACTCGGAAACAAAAACTTAAAAAATAAGTAACAGGGCTGCTTGTTCAATTCTTTTTGCATACAATTTTTTTAAAATTTTTGAGTAATTATTAAACTTTATTAAATTATACAAAAATTATCAAAAAATAAGTAACAAATCATTTTTTCAATGTGAAATATCCAATTTTTTTTAATTGTTGTGAGTAGTTATTGAACTTTATAAATAAAGTTTACAAAAATGATCAAAAAATAAGTAATTTAAATAATTTTTGCAATGTAAAATTCCTTTCACTCTAGAAATGGACTTTGTTGTTGAAAACGATGTGCTATTGAAAACTAATATCAGAAGACATTAAACAATTAATGATTATTAATAAAACTAGGACTTTTTTAAAAAAGTTGATAAATGTGAAAAAAATGGAATTTCACATTGAAAAAATGATTTAAGTTACTTATTTTTTGATAATTTTTGTAAACTTTATTTATAAAGTTCAATAACTACTCATAACAATTAAGAAAAATTAGATGTATTAATAAAACTAGGACTTTTTTAAAAAAGTTGATAAATGTGAAAAAAATGGAATTTCACATTGAAAAAATGATTTGTTACTTATTTTTTGATAATTTTTGTATAATTTAATAAAGTTTAATAATTACTCAAAAATTTTAAAAAAATTGTATGCAAAAAGAATTGAACAAGCAGCCCTGTTACTTATTTTTTAAGTTTTTGTTTCCGAGTCTCTGCTCGTAAACTTTTTTTTTCATGAATATTTTGCATTTTATTTCTAAATTTGTTTAATATTGTGATAATAATCACGCAAATATGTATTGCCATTACAATTTTATTATTTTTGCTATTAAATTATAACGAAAGTAATAACATTTTGAAAACTTGTTCGCAATAGCTACCGCTGTAAAATATTTATATGGAGTATAATATATAAAATATTGTGTATAGGGGAATAATGCAGTCAAGAAAACTAGGTATAGGAATTGTATTTGTATTTACATATTTTCACAATCTGATTTTTATTATTTACAAGAAGCAAAAATAATAGAATTATAATGACAACACATATTTGCATGATTATTATTATAATATTAAACAAATTCAGAACTAAAACGCAAAAAAATTCGTGAAATAAAAATTCACGAGCACAGAAATTCGAGCACGGAACCCTTGGCTTATCAAGTTGACACGCTACCGCTTCGCCGCCAAACCACTTGTAGCTAGGTTACACCTTTAGATATATAAGTTCCCATACAAACTTTAGGGCTCTTTTTCTCCAAATTTGCTGCCCATTGGTCTGTAGAATTTGAGCATGGTATGAGGTTTCATCACTACGAAGTCTCATTCGGTATTTCATTTCCCATACCGTTTCCTCCCCTTATGAGTACAAATAGACTGGTCCATCAACATATAGTATGGACTACGCATAGACAGAAAAAATGGTCGGCTGAAAGAAAAAGGTAGCGACTGGTGGCGGCCAAGCCCTATCTTCTTCTGACCAGCAGCCGTAGTACGAGAGTATAGAAAACATAGGCAATGGGAACATTAGAAAAGGAGAACGATTGGCCGCCACCTCATATCCTCTTTGTTTATTTGAGCGGACACTTTTTCAAAGGATCTAAGGTAGTGATCGCGTAGTCCACACTATATGTCAATAGACTGGGCATACCCATGTATTCTGTGCTTTGCGATCTTTATATGCGGAATATATGTATATCTACATATACCATTTCAATGGGTAAAATCCATTTGCAGGTGGCTTTTTAATGCGGTTTTGAGGGTTCATGAAAATTCCGGATTTCTCCTTCTACTTCACTTATATTTTGTATTGATTCTGTGGAACGTATCAACGGCATAAAAATAGACACGACTGTATAATATAATGAAGTTTATATAGTATAATATAATCATGCATTTGCTACATTCCAAGTTAATTAATAGATTCAATGAGCATTGTTCATGAATAAAATAAAGTAATAATAATCGGGTCTCGAACCCGAGACTCTCGCACGTTGACTCGTTACCATGCACGTTTGATATTTAGCTACTGTGACGTACAGATTGGGAAAACTGTATTTCAGTTGTTAAACATGTTTGGAGTTTGCTTAGAGTACTCTGATACATACGCTTAACCAATCCAAAACGTGGGTATGGTTCGACGGCCCTCCGCTCAGGTGGCGCGTTTACTCCAAAATAAAATTGGTTTCAAGAATATCGGCCCATTGGCAATCTCCCTATTCATCTCTGGTATATATATCAGTGATTCTGTGCAATTCATTGAAAGCTGTGTGTGCGCCGTTAGCTATAAATTGATAGTATAATAATTTCAAAAGGATTTATATATTTAAAGAATAAGAAAAGGAGAATATTTCTATACGAAATGGCTACATTAGAAGACAAATCAATTTGGGAAGATGGAGAGGTATCTATCACATTTTATAATCATTAGAGGTTATGTTTTCGATGACAAGCAGTTCTCCAATACTGTAAATACTTCTATATTTTTTATAAAACTTCAGAATACAACTCATTCTTAAAAAGCTTTATTAAAAAAAAATAAACCGAAAGACGACTTTAAGAAAAAGTGATATTTTGGAGTTTAGCCAATTTACTAATGATCTCTTCCTTATTATCCTATTATCCAATAAAAAAAATCTACATCACAAGAATGATCTATATAAACAGTTATTTTAATTTTTTATTGTAGCTTATAATACTAGGATTGCAGTATTTAGTAATTAATTTTATAGACAATCAAATTATAGGGACAGTCTCATATTGAGAAAATTGTTTTTGTATTGTAAAATAGAAAGAAATAATCAGATAGTATGTCACTAACATCAGGAAATTCTTATAGGTATACATTTTTTTTAATTCCATGACAACTTTGTACCATACATAATTATTATTTCAGGAAACTTTGGGTGAGGATGTGCTGCGAATGTCCACGGATGAGATTGTCTCACGCACACGACTATTGGATAATGAAATTAAGATAATGAAGAGTGAAGTGATGCGTATATCTCATGAGCTACAGGCGCAAAACGATAAGATCAAAGAGAATACTGAAAAAATCAAAGTGAATAAGACTCTACCATATCTGGTTTCAAATGTTATAGAGCTTCTCGATGTAGATCCACAAGATATGGGAGAAGAGGATGGTGCAGTAGTTGACCTTGATGCACAAAGAAAAGGAAAATGTGCTGTTATTAAGACTTCCACTAGGCAAACATATTTTCTTCCAGTAATTGGACTTGTTGATGCAGAGTCCTTGAAACCAGGAGACTTGGTTGGTGTCAACAAGGATAGCTACCTTGTCTTAGAAACGTTACCTGCCGAATATGATGCTAGAGTTAAAGCCATGGAAGTTGATGAACGTCCTACGGAACAATACTCCGATATTGGTGGTCTGGACAAACAGATTCAAGAACTCATTGAAGCTGTGGTGCTTCCTATGACACACAAAGAGAAGTTCGAGAACTTAGGAATTCAGCCGCCAAAAGGAGTTCTTTTGTATGGTCCCCCTGGAACTGGCAAGACACTACTAGCCCGTGCCTGTGCTGCTCAAACCAAGTCCACGTTCTTAAAACTCGCCGGCCCACAGTTGGTCCAGATGTTCATCGGAGATGGTGCCAAACTTGTACGAGATGCTTTCTCTCTAGCTAAGGAAAAGGCACCTGCTATTATATTCATTGATGAACTTGATGCTATTGGTACGAAAAGATTTGATTCTGAGAAAGCTGGTGATCGTGAAGTACAGAGAACTATGTTAGAGCTTCTTAATCAGCTAGATGGGTTTAGTTCTACGGCTGACATTAAAGTTATTGCTGCTACTAACAGAGTGGATATTCTGGATCCTGCACTTCTCAGATCTGGACGTCTTGATCGTAAAATCGAGTTTCCGCACCCCAACGAAGAAGCCAGAGCTCGTATTATGCAGATTCACTCCAGGAAAATGAATATGTCACCTGATGTGAATTTTGAAGAATTATCTAGATCTACCGATGATTTTAATGGCGCGCAATGCAAAGCCGTTTGTGTGGAGGCAGTAAGTTAAAATATAGATATGTAGATAATGAAATTGAATGAATGAGTAAATGAAATGTATACATTTTTTTCTTTTCAGGGAATGATCGCATTGAGACGTAACGCCAGAGCTGTTACTCACGAAGACTTGATGGAAGCTATCAATGAAGTTCAAGCTAAGAAGAAGGCCAATTTGAATTATTATGCTTAAAATCCATGTATCTTTACTTGTTAAGAACTTTTTTCGCTAATATAGTATGAAATATTACGTGATTATCTAGTTTCCCCTTCATTATACAGTTTCGAAATAAACAACCTTTTTTTATATTTGTCAATGATAAATACATTTGCTTTAGCTCTTGATTTATTTGAATCAGTTGTTCTAAAGTACAAATTAAACTTGGTTTTATTTTTTTCATTTGAATACGGTCAAGCAATTATAAAAAAAAAGGAAAATATATAGAAATTAAGTGTTCTTTCATCGTCTCCTGTGACTTCTCTTCTTAAGTCTGCAAAATAAAAATACAATGAGGCTCAAACACAACAAATGAGTAGTGCAAAAAAAATAAGCAATTTCACTCACTTCTTAGGTCCTTTGACAAAGCACCAGTCAACGGAAATAGCTTGACCTAGAATATCTGTACCATTCAGAGCTTCTTTAGCAGCTTGTGCCTCCTTGAAAGTTTCATACTCAACCAAAGCATATCCTTTCAAGAATCCTGTTCGCCTGTCCAGATTCAGATGGAGATTTTTAATCTGTCCAAATTCTGAAAATTTATCCTGGATATCATCTTCTTGTGCCTCTTCATGGACAGAATTGATAAATAGAATCCATCCTTCAACAGCTGATAATAAAATATATAATTTTTATTCATATTTTATGCCATTATAAGATTGTTATGAAAAAACAAACAGAGTACTAACATCTTTGTGGACCTGGTTCATCATCGTCATCCTCGACGACGTTCATGGACTCGTAATGGCCAACATCATCACGAGTAGATACTAATTCTGCTCCATGTCCGCGACCTTTCCTCTTTTTAGCTTTTTCTTTCAGACGTAGAATTCCCTCTATACATAATTAAAATAATATTTGATGCATAAATTATAGATCATGAGCGTTTATGGTCATTCCACTGTTTACAGATTATAAGTTGGTATAGCTGAAAATAATGAAAGAATACTAGTAAATACTAACGGTCACCCTCATCGTCGACTTCGAATTCTTCAGCATTATCAATATCCAATACATCTGCCATTATGAGTTTAGTAATTATGAATTTCACACTAAATGAGTTGTTATAGCAAATTACAAGACGTGCCTAAGTAAAAAGAAACGGATTGTACGTGTTACACTGTACACGCTGGTATACACTACAAGTTTGCAAACATTTGCAAAACGTACGTAACCACAGAGCGTAACTGAATAAAGCACAGACCACTTATTGGAGACGCGGCACTCCACTGCTATAGACTGTTAGCTGTAACGCTCCGAGCGCCTAATTCCGCGGTATACTTGAAAATCCCACTCGATGTTCCTTGCTGCTGGGTTCCGTTGGTAAAGATTGGAAACTCACCTTGCGAATTTAGAAGTATATTTACGAAATAAAAGTAAATATTAAGATATAAACGTATATACAGAGATGAGGAGGGAGATTGCCAACAGAGATGAGTGGGGAGATGCACAACGCTCCGGTTTTAGTCGATACGAAAAGCATGGCGCTAAATCATAGCGGCGAGTCCGGGAGTAGGATTTCGTGATCATCGCCTCTGTCAATGTTACAGATTTCGCGTAGCCGCGCGGGTCATGATCATCGTTCCAGCCGATATTGCAGTCAGCGAAAATGAATGGATTGCTCGGTGGTGGGGAAAAAGTTGCCGCCCCTCACAAACCGTTCTTGACAAACAGCCCATGAAGAACTCTTTTTTCATCTTCTTTTTTTTTATTTTACTACAAAATCTGTTCAAGGTTCCTTTCTTTTAACCTTTCTAGGTTGCCCAAACTTTATTTTAAGTTTATATATTTTTTTTTAAATGTTATCTATGACAGAATCGACTAATATTTTAAACGCCCGCTCGTGCCGCGCGACCGGCGACTTGAGCGATTGCGGATCCTCTCTTGCTGAGAGGTCTGCTATTGCTGTTACTGCTGCCGCTGGTTCTTATAATCTTATAAATACTTTTTTATTTGCAATCTTCAGTTCCAGCGCCCAGTGTAAATTCAATAAGATTTACTATGAGAAAATAATTAGCTCACTTCATTACCTGGAATCAATAATCTTGAGAAGCAAATATGGAAATGAGCATTATCTCTGTCTGTAATTGTTCGTACACGTGGACAAAGGTGGCATGAAAGTTCTTAACTGGTGTGCATCTTCATATTATTCTGCTTATACAGTAATGCGCAATTGAAGTGGAACACTTGAATTTTTGTGTATCTCTACGAAACTATGACCGACATTAAAAGAACACCCCCATTAAACCCCTGTAGGATCACTCTAGGGGGAGTTACACCCCCTTGAAGTGAAAACACTTAAATGCATACAGAATGCAGGGACAAATGCTTGGCGCGCGTGGTAGGGTAGTAGTCCCCCGAGCGCCTCGAGCGGAACTCGCAAAATTTAGGCGTTTTTTCAAACGGATAAAATAACCCCTTAGCGTACTCGTATTTGGATGTTTAAAAGCACGTTTTAATCGTTGAAATCTCAGCTACAACATGGATAAAAATGAAACTTCTATTTCATCGCTTTCCTAATGAAAAGTGGCGGGGAAGCTTCGGGTGCACTTGCGAAATCTCGAGATCTCCGTCACGGGCTCATCTCCGAGAACAATAATTTTGTGAGAATCTGCAGTATCATTAAAGATGATATCATGCAGAAACTGGACCAGATTGGTCGGCGCGTTCGGAAGTTATGGCCATTTAAGTGTTTTCACTTCAAGGGGGTGTAACTCCCCCTAGAGTGATCCTACAGGGGTTCAATGGGGGTGTTTTTTTTATGCCGAAGGATGCTCTCTCTCGTGACCTGATTAAAAATATAAATTTCCTGCCGGAACTACTAGATCTCGAATTTTTCGAAAAGTTCCAAAATGCATTTTTTTCACTCCAACCCCTGCCATTCGGCTATTTTGTATCCGATCGGGATAAAACCTTTACCATTCGAACGGGAAGGAAATTTCCTAAAAAATATATCTTTGGTTTTTTTTTAAATCGGTCATAGTTTCGTAGAGATACACAAAAATTCAAGTGTTCCACTTCAATTGCGCATTACTGTATAAGCAGAATAATATGAAGATGCACACCAGTTAAGAACTTTCATGCCACCTTTGTCCACGTGTACGAACAATTACAGACAGAGATAATGCTCATTTCCATATTTGCTTCTCAAGATTATTGATTCCAGGTAATGAAGTGAGCTAATTATTTTCTCATAGTAAATCTTATTGAGTTTACACTGGACGCTGGAACTGAAGATCGCAAATAAAAAAGTATTTATAAGATTATAAGAACCAGCGGCAGCAGTAACAGCAATAGCAGACCTCTCAGCAAGAGAGGATCCGCAATCGCTCAAGTCGCCGGTCGCGCGGCACGAGCGGGCGTTTAAAATATTAGTCGATTCTGTCATAGATAACATTTAAAAAAAAATATATAAACTTAAAATAAAGTTTGGGCAACCTAGAAAGGTTAAAAGAGAGGAACCTTGAACAGATTTTGTAGTAAAATAAAAAAAAAGAAGATGAAAAAAGAGTTCTTCATGGGGAATCGAATCCGTAACCAGCAGCGGTATATCTTGACAGGTTATTGACTCAACCACGATGCTCGTTTAATTCTAAATTAAATTTTCTATATTTTCTATATTTCAAAATTTCTCTTTGAACTGTTCTCGGTCGTTTCATTTATCAACGAATTTCGCCATTCATTTTTTAATGTTCATTTTCGGCATGATAAGAGGTAAAGAGTGAAAACCAATATTTTTATGCATTTTTTATAACTTTGAAATTTATTTGAATATACACATTTGTTTGCGCATTACGTCCATACAAACGTTTAGGGTTCGGTTGGACGGAACACCTTGCTGTTCCGCCTGTTTGTCAAGAACGGTTTGTGAGGGGCGGCAACTTTTTCCCCACCACCGAGCAATCCATTCATTTTCGCTGACTGCAATATCGGCTGGAACGATGATCATGACCCGCGCGGCTACGCGAAATCTGTAACATCGACAGAGGCGATGATCACGAAATCCTACTCCCGGACTCGCCGCTACGATTTAGCGTCATGCTTTTCGTATCGACTAAAACCGGAGCGTTGTGCATCTCCCCATTCATCTCTGTCGCCTAAAACCGTAGCGTTGTGCATCTCCCCACTCATCTGTGGTCAAAAGCACGGGAGTGATGTGCCTCCAGTAACTGGTCTGTGATCACGTGCATGAAATAGGAAATTGCAACTTTGCGATTGGCTGCGAGAGATACGCGTGGATACGCGGTACGTAAAGTACGCTCCATGTGACGGAACCCGTATATTTGTTGGGGAAAGTAACGTTTACTAAAAATCTATAAAATTGGATTGAGAAGTGTAATTCCCTAAAAGGACATTATTAATATTATTCTCAAATGAATAAAAATGAATTCATGAACACATACGGTCCGCTCGTTGGTGCAATTGATGAGGGAACAAGTAGTGCTCGATTTTTGGTAAAAAAAATCAACAATCAGTTTTTTAACGAATAAATACTATTAAATTATCTGATCTAATTTGTTGTTTCTAATTTGAGTGCTTTAAAGAATATCGCCGTAATATTACATTCAGTATTATTGTGAAATGTTCAGGTTAAATTGTTATACATGAAGTGAATGACATTCCTTTTATGAAATTCTGATGCAAATGTTTTTTTAGTGTTAGTAGATATTTTATTTTGGCTAAATTACAGAATAGGACTTCTTGAACCTAGCTGTGGATTGTTTAGTTTTTTTTGCATGAAGCTTTTCAAGAAGAAATGATTTTCTGCGTGTTACCTTTATTTTTTTTAAGGTATTTGCTGCAAATACTGCTGAAGTATTAACTTATCATCAAGTGCCAATTTCACAATCCTGTCCTAAGGAAGGATGGGTTGAACAAGATGCAAAAGAAATATTAGCTGCAGTTCAAGAATGTTTGAAACAAACTGTATTCAATCTCCGACAACTGACTATAGATCCATCAGATATTGTAGCTCTTGGTATTACAAACCAAAGAGAAACAACTGTAGTGTGGGATTCACAGACTGGGGAACCATTATACAATGCTATAGGTATTGAATAGCATAGAATTTTTGGCTGTTGAATTTATCAATTATTGTTATTATGCAGCTTGGAAAAGAAAAATACAAGCAATTTACAATGTTTTTACTCCTTTAGGAGTCATTCTCAGGTATAGTTTTTAATAAGTAAAATTAAATTTCAAGTTAAAATTCCATAAGATGTATTTCAAGATATAATGTTTAATTGATTAATATTTTTCTTCTTCGTTTCAGGTGGAGCAGAGAAGTAGCTATTAAATTTGATCAGAAGGTCCTACTCAGATTTTGAATGTCAACCCAAATTATTACAAACTAATCTGGAATAAAAACATGACTTTTTTCAGACAAACGTTTGCAGATAAAATAAGAAAAAAGGCTGATAGACCATCTATTTTTCTGGAAAAAATCATGTTTATTCCAGATTATTTTCTAATAATTTTGCTTGACATTCAAAACCTGAATAGGACCTCCTGGTCAAATTTAGCAGCTGTTTCTCTGCTACATCTGAAACAAACAAGAAAAATAATGAATTGAACTAAATATTATATCTTGAAAAACAACTTAATGAATTTTTACTTGAAATTTAATTTTACTTATTAAGAACCATACCTAAGGATGACTCCCAATGGAGTCGAAACGTCGTAAATTACTTCCAATTTTCTTCTCTTGACTGTATGGTCGTCACTTAAATAAATAATACAATAATTTCTTAAGTATTATCGTTTTTTGAAAATTTATAGATTTTTTCATATTTACTAGAAGTTAAATCATACTCTGATTTGTTATAGTATGGATGGACATGAGAACTACAAGTATAGTTGATGAAATACTTAAGGGTGTGCGTAATCAGAATAAAAACTACCTCAAACCACTTTGTGGATTACCAATTAGTCCTTACTTCAGTGCTTTAAAACTCAAATGGTTATTGGAAAACGAGCCTAAAGTGCAACAGGCTATACGTGAAAAGCGCTGTATGTTTGGTACCATTGATTCCTGGTTGATATGGGTTAGTCAAAATTATAAGCAAGAATGTGTATTATGTTAAAGAATAATAGAATTATTGAAATATTATTGGTTATATAGAACTTGACCGGTGGTATCAATGGTGGCGTTCATAGCACAGATGTAAGCAATGCCTCAAGAACAATGCTAATGAATATCAATACTTTGAAATGGGACAATACACTGCTGTCCTTTTTTAAAATACCTCGTGAGATATTACCAGAAATACGTAGTTCCTCAGAAGTTTATGGACATATACAAGAAGGAGTAATGCGCGGAGTACCGATTTCTGGGGTAAGTGCAAATGTCCATAGCACTATTCAGAAAAATATTAAATAAGCAAAATCTCCATTTAGTGTCTCGGAGATCAGCAATCTGCTCTAGTTGGTCAGATGTGCTTCCATCAGGGTCAAGCAAAAAGCACTTATGGTACTGGCTGCTTTTTACTTTACAACACTGGAACTGCAGTAGGTATATCATATCAAAATATATATTTTCACAATAGTTCCGCGGATAAAACAAACATTTTCATTTGCAGATCGTAGATTCATCTCACGGATTGCTGACAACTGTAGCTTACCAGTTGGGTGCAAATGTCCCTCCAGTTTACGCATTGGAGGGATCAGTCGCTATAGCCGGTGCCGTTGTGCAATGGTTAAAAGATAATCTAGGTATTTTATCAAATATTTCCGAATGCGAATCGGTCGTCGAAAAGCTTTCATCGGAAAATCGTGTAACCTTCGTACCAGCATTTGCTGGTCTCTATGCACCATATTGGAGAAAGGATGCTAGAAGGTATTCTTCTCTATCTATTTAGTAATTTCATTTATGAAAAAAATATATGAACAGCATATAAAAGTAATCATATTTCTGTTTGCCAGTGTGATATGTGGTATTACAGAAGACACTAACAGTGCTCACATTGTGAAGGCAGCCTTGCAATCTGTGTGTTTTCAAACGAGAGACATTTTGGAAGCAATGAAACAGGATACTGGTCTATCACTCTCGGAATTATTAGTGGATGGCGCTATGACGAAGAATAATTTATTAATGCAAATGCAAGCTGATATTTGTGGCATTCCTGTGGGTAAGTCCACTCAGCTGATTAGTAATAGATTCTTTAAGTTTTCAGTTCATTTCATTGAGTATGTTCAACGTGTTTTACAAGGAAGTCAGACCTTTGATGTGTGAAACAACTGCTCTTGGCGTAGCTATTGCTGCGGGAAGTGCTGAAGGAGTTCGTAAGTGGGACCTTAAGATTGACGCTATGGTACCCAGTGACGTGTTTGTGCCATCTATAACTGAAAATGGTTAATATAAATATATTCAAAAATTTTATTGATATTTTTGCTAACATATTTTACAGAACGCGATATACTTTACTCACAATGGAAAATGGCCATCGAACGTAGCTTAGGCTGGGAGCCTTGTTTGGACTCAGATGGTTTGTTACGAATAATTTTATTAGTAAATATGGAATGCTTGCTTTATTTATGAGACTCATTTTTTTCAGACGAAACGAAGGATGTTCATGCAGCTACCAGTACTGGTCTGTTTGTAATGGGTACCGTGATTCTTCTAATGATTGCAAAATATAGATCAAATCTGTGACTCGGGTTTTGGATAACATGCATTGCATTTTAGTCAAATAAACAATAACTTAAATTATCTTGACTGATGCTCAATTACTTTATTCCATAAAACCATTAATCAGAAAGCAAACAAAAATTTAGGCTGTCATGCAATATAAATTACATCAGCTTTCAGAGTTTCACAAGTTACGTCGATTCTCCGTACGTTTCTTCCCACGATTCTCATAATTTCCTTCAATTGACTTTGAAGATGAATGAGCTTGTATTTCCTTAATTGGAAGTTCATTTTCCAATCCTATACCAATATTAGTATCTTGATGTTTCGTAACTAAAGCCTCCTTAGTCAGTAACTTCGGAATATCAGGCGTTTCCGGCACAAAAACTTTGGTTTCTGTTGCCGTAGAAATTGTCGGAATATTATCCTGAAATGATGGCCGTTAAAATTGAAAAATTGGCTAACTTTGTAATATTAACTATACCACAGATTTATCAGTGGTGGACGTTTGAGCTATTGCTACAGCCACAATGAGCCAAGGGTCATTTCTAATGATTGCAATTCGAAGTCTTGTACGTTGCGGCGCCAGTATCCGTGTTATTAGTACACGACAAGGTTGGGATACTTTTGGATCCTTTGGAAAAGTAACTTTGTTTTGCACCTGCTACAATAGAAACAAAACTCTACAACTGAAAACTCTGAGTTTGAAATTTTAAGTATTAGTAAAACTTGTTGAACAAGTATTTCTGTCCATGTTGAGTGTACCTGAATACCTTAAGAAGTTGCGCGTAATTTGAGTCATCAAAAGGAAGCCTCCCATAAACCATAGCGAATAGTACGACACCCATAGACCAGATATCAGACATCTGAGGCTGATATGGTATTCCACGTAATATCTCAGGAGAGGCATATGCATAACTACCGCAAAAAGTTTCGCTCAAAGGTGCTATGCCATTTTTTGGCTTCATATGGCCACGAGCAAAACCAAAATCTGATAATTTTATATTGAAATCCTTGTCCATGAGAAGATTTTCGCACTTAATATCTCTGATATAATTTAAAAATGTAATTATCGATTGAATATTTTTATTTATAATTATCTATCACCTATGGACCACTCCACGTTCATGACAGTAATCAACAGCTTCTAATAATTGACGAAACCAACGGCGACTCCGGGTCTCATCAATAAACATATCTCTTCTTATAACGTCCAGTAAACTACCATTTTGTGCATACTCCATGACAATGTAAACTCTAAGAGAAGTTGAACTATATTTATTTTATGTAAATTAATATTTTAAAAACAAACCTATGCGTGGTCTCTATGGCTTGGAGAAATCTAATCAAGTTAGAATGCTTCAGGCCTTTGACGACTTCTATCTCCCGCGGTAAAAATTTCTTCAAATAATCACCCGGCGCCTGGAATTTTGAAACTATCTTCACTGCTACCTGACAGTTATGTCTGTCGGATTTTGCCACCTAGAAAATGTCTTAGGATTTCATATATATGTATAATTTTGTTTAATGCATGCCATTATTTGCCTTGACGGTAGCGTATGACCCAGCTCCAACTGTTCTACCCAGTGCATAACCATGAGTTTCCAATACAGTTAATTTTTTCTCAGGTTTATCCTCATCTTTTTCATTTACTGGATTATTTTGTTGCTTTTCTAAAGTAGGTTTTAGTTCTGTTACCGGTACGGTGGCCATTCTATTCGTGGACAATACTTTGAGCTAGATCAATAGTCTTATCTTTTACAATGCATACTCAAGAAAATACCGATTTCACACGTATTACAGATTTTTACACGAATAACTTGAAGCTGTACGATAAAGTCCTCGTTAAAATAGTGAAAAATCAATAGAAATGTCAAGATTTGAAAAAAATGAAAACACAAGAAATGTAATACGTGAGGAACTCGTGAGACTTGTATAACAAAGAGTGATTTGAAGTGCAATGATAAAACAAAATGCTTTAACAATACTTGATGGATTTTTTATTAGATGTCACAAAAATTACGGAAAGTAATGGAAAAACAGAATAGTTTCCTGTCTTCATGAATGCTGATATCTGATAACTTCATAAAAGTATTGGTTGTGTTCAGCAGAAAAACCGCTAAGGGAGCAAATACATCTGATTGATCAAATCTCGTAACTGTTGCAAGATTAAGGATTAAGAATAACTAATCAAACATATTTGCTCCTTCAGCGGTGTTTCTGCTAAACAGCCGTTTAAGAAATGGAAAAAAAGGAATAATCTCTTACCCATTAACACATTTTCGATCCAACTGTAACTTTATTCGAATTATTCTTGCATATATGCGATTTTTTACTGTCGCAATGCGAGAAACAGAATGACACTCGGAACAATACGAGTAATAATTTTTGAAAGTAGCTTCGATATATAGAATATAAAAACTAATACGAGAATAGTATTTTGACGATGCTGTTTATGAAATAATATAAAATTAACGTTATTAAACTTAACGAGATGGATGTATAACCTTTTACAAGAGGCACTATCATTAGTTACAAATTAAGTTGGATCCCCCTCTCCATCGTCGTCACTCTTGTGTACTGATTAACAGTAGCTGCTGTCTTCACATATGTATGTTGCTCTTTTGGCTAAATATTGTTTTGAGATTTTTTTGCTCCCTCTTGGAATCTACATCTTTGTCAGATGGACTTATACAGGCTGAATCTTTTTGTTTCGAATTCTGCTTACATTGTTGTTCAATAGCTAAAACAATCCGGTTGTAAATTTCTAAATCAATCTTCTTGTACTTTGAAACTTTGTTTTTCAATCGTAAATTCCTTCTGATAACGTTTTTTGCGGTACCTTGTATTTTTCTACGCTTTTCTTGTTGGATTTTTAGTTGATCTGGTCCTCTTGGTCTTTTCATCAAAGATCTACGTTGTTTTCGACATGCTGTACATCTAGTTATTTGAGGACCAGTCCGATTTTGTTCTTTTGCCAACACATAACCAATACATTGTAGTGATTTTTGTTCACCCAGTACACCTTTACAGGGTATTAATGCTGATACTCGTTGGAGTAACTTTGATACTTCATCTATTTTTTCAACATGTTCCATATCTGCCAAAATTATTCTTTTTTCTTCTAAGAAAATTTCTACGCTCAAGTCTTGCAATAAAACTACTCGTTTTGCTATGGCTGAAGAATTGTTTTGCAAACAGATCCAAAAGACTCGGTTTTCAAGTACATGCATGAACCACAATCCACGTGGAAGAACAATTGTATTTAATTTCTGTTTGAGTGATTGAAAACTACCACCTGTTGATTTTATAATTTCTTCAAATTCTCGTGAAGATTGATCACACTGTCCACACAGTTCATCGATTTCACTTGGTTCACATTCATCGGATGGTATAGTTAGTTCAGATGATTCACATGGTTCACACTGTTCAGATGATTCACATAGTTCCCACTGGTCAGATGGTTCACATAATTTAGATGATGTACATGGAACACATGTCGTAAAGTCTTGTGAATTGGTCCCTGCATCTTTGAATTTTGACTGACTAGATGTAGCATCATCATTTTTAGATTTGCATTCTGTAGTGGTTGTTGGTTGTGGAGTTATTTGAGAACTGTTTTCCATGTTCCGAAGTTTATGTTCATCAGTCACTGTTTCTTGAATTCCTTTACTTTGGCATTCATTTGCAGAACTAATTCCAGTTTCTTGATGACAAGGAAAAATAGAAGGTACTGATCCTACACGCAAAGTAGCTTTACCTTTCCTCATACGAAATACTGTCCCATCTGGCATCGTAGTCACATAATATTTTTCCACTTCATCTTCTTGAAAATGAAGCTCACACACACCATTGGACTTGGACACCGCTTTATGAGAACGAGGAATCGCCTCTCTCCATTTTAGCAACATCTCTTCCTATTTTAATCATACAAGAAGAAAAATGATAGCTACTTATACATATTTAAAAAACCTTTATGAAGTAACGTTTCTTAGAATTTATAATTCATGATCACAAAAATGGTAACACAGATTAATATTTCAGAGTGATCAGCACAAGCAAAAAAAATCAGATTCAGATTAGTAAATTTAATTAATTTAGCTTAAATTTTTAACGTTGAAAGGTTGAAAGTAGGTGGTATGTTTATAATCTTTCAGAAATTCAAATAAACAATATAATTAATAAGACAAATCGCAGACTTACTGTACGAGGTTTAAATATACTGCAATTCTTCTTTCCTTTCATTCTATTTTTTATATTAACACTGGCATAGCCAGTTTTGCAACCAGGCACACAACAGCAAGAAGGTGACGAAGACGGCATCGTAAAGTGAAAAGGTTATCTTTCTCTTCTTCTTCCTATCATAGGAATGTATCCCTCTAACGAGATCACGTGCCAGCGATCCAAGGCTTGAAATTTCTTCTTCCTCTTTGTTTTTTATTTATTGCCTCTTAGACCGTTGCTATGGATAACTTTTACTATTCGGCCACAGGGTTCTAAGCATAATATAATTGCGACTGTATACCACTGTATACCCTTTAGTACCTTTCATCGACATAGGCTTAGTTTCCACCGTGCAGAGTTTAAACAGAGTTAACCAATCACTTATAGAAGTTGAATGGAATTGACCAATGAGGCCTCTAAACTTTGTGTAAACTTTGCACGGTGGAAACTAACCCATATAGTACTGGACTGCTCACTGTAGCCGCAGAAAGTGTAACCGGGAATAGAAAGAAAGAGCAAATCATAAGAACCGTTTTGTCCTTCTCTTGAGCAGAAGCGGAATTAGGAATAAAGGAACCTCGCGCAATAAAATGTATGTTTCACGATGAACATTATTTATATATTTTATAAGTTTAAGAATTGATTTAATCTTATGTTAACCATAAAATTTAAGATTATATTTCTACTTTACTTACTTGTGAAAGCTTATCGTATTGGGCTCAAAGTATACGTCTCGTGATAGCCCACACATAACACAGTGAATCACCATTTTTTAATATTGAATTTTTATAAACTCAACTACCATAAAGTAATCACAATAATTCAAATTTGACCGATGGACTTGACTCACGGAGGCTTCTGTCTCCAAGATTCGACTGTAACAACGTATATTCTAGATGTGCGGAGTAATCTTTCACATGGTTCTTCTTCTGCATATTACAGTCCTGAACCCCTTCCATCCAGAAAACTTTCGACCAATAGAAAAATGATAGAAAAGGACAGAACGGTCCTTACGATTTGCTCTCTCTTTCTATTCATAGTTACACTTTCTGCGGCAACAGTGAGCAGTCCAGTACTATCACAGATGAGTAGGGAGATTGCCAATGGGCCTGTTTTTGGTGGTCTCAATTTTACTCTGGTTTCGTCGCGCCACCTTAGCAGAGTGCCCTCGAAGCAGTTCCACGTTTTTGATTGGTCGAGTATATATAGTAATACTACGCGTGAGAATCTGGAGCTGTGTTTTGGCGCGTCGACGCGCCACCTGATCGAGACTCTTGAACTAGTTCCACGTTTTTGATTGGTCGAGTATATATAGTAATACTACGCGTGAGAATCTGGAGCTGTGTTTTGGCGCGTCGACGCGCCACCTGATCGAGACTCTTGAACTAGTTCCACGTTTTTGATTGGTCGAATGAATCGTATGTTCTTCGAGATCCACGATTTTAAACCGGGTGAACACTCAAATAGGGAGACTCGTATCCACCCTCTCTTACTGTATATTACATAAACCGTAGTAATGAGGTAGTAAATTTTGCCGATGTTAATTCCCTTAATATCCATATGAAGCTTTGTAAATAATAGAGTGAGCAAAAAAAACTTTAAACAAACCCTCGAACGTGGGTAACTACAGAAATATAAATTTTCCAATTTGTATAGCACAATGGCTCGGTAGCACACGTGATTGGTGCTGGATTAACTTCCGAGAGTTTCAAGTTCGGAACTCATGTCTCATCCCCTTTTTTTTTGTCTTAATTATCAACTATGCTTTGTAACGTAATTCTTTTCCTTGACCCGACACCGATAGCAAAACATACGGGAACGACTATTTTCGAGAACCAACCTACGTTACCTTCGGCCGTCCACCCGTCGTTCGTGCATCCGCAAACCAGGCGGGCGCCAGCAATTCTTTCTTCACCGGGAACTGACGAGCCGGTATAAACTGGGAGTTGAGGTGGAACAGGCCCAACTCCACCAAGAACGAGAGCTCTGACGGAACCTATCAGACGAGGCAATAGCTTAACGGATCCTGTCGATTTTTGGGGACGCGTAAAATTGAGAAACGCAACCGTAGGTGCTGATCTTTTGGGTCGCGTAAAATCAGCAAACGCAACTGGATACACGAACGGGAGCGAACGGTTACGGAATGCACGGCCGCTCAGGCTGCTAGGTTTGAGGTAGAGAGGGTCGGAGTAAGAGTCCGGCAAATAGTGCGAGAGACAGAGAGC